ACCACAATTTAAACACATTTTTCCGCAAATAATCCAATTAAATCACTAACAAAATATATACTTTCAAGCTCTTATCAATAAATCATAATGTCTTTAATAGAATTTAGAATTATATGTCTTATGCCTATTTATTCTACCAAATTAAAGATTCCTTCAAAACGCACAAAGCCCCTAGTCCCCACCACCAAACGCAATTTAGTCTTCACTACCCTTTACCCTTTTGCAATTTAATAAATAACAAAGCCCCTTTACCCTTTTGCAATATAGTCTTCACTACCCTATACCCTTTTGCAATTTACTCTTCATTGCCCTTTACCATTCAGTAATTTTAATTCCTCAACTCTGTTTAGTCTAAGGAGAACTAACATGATTATTAGACCCACCTTTGAAAAGATTCTTTAGAGATTTATAAACCTAAGTTAGTTGGAAAGAGATTTATGAACCATCAGATTTATAAATCTATTTCCAACTTTTTAGTCCAAGATTTCTCCCCCTAATATGCCAAATAATTTTATATTTTATTGTTATACTTTTCAAACTATCCTTTCGGACACTTTCCAAGAGCACCAGAAAACTTTCTTTTTCATTCTAAACATTATCATCCATGATATTACACTGTCATTTACCCTTTTGCCATTAGTTATTACACTGGGCTTTACCCTTTTGCCATTTTACATTACACTAGCCTTTACCCTTTTGCCATTTTACATTACACTACCTTTTACCCTTTTGCAATTTAAGCATCACTGCTCTTTACCCTTTTGCAATTTAATATATAACAAAGCCTCCAGTCCCCACCACCAAATGCAGAACCACAACCAAAAACAAATTTATAAATTGCCCTTCTACTATCTACTGTAAAACAAATTCCCACAAGTAGAAGTCCACAACCACAACCACAACCACAGTCCACAAACAAATTAACAAACTCCTTTGCAATTTCAATTTTGTCCCACAAGTCCACAACACAACCACAACCACAAACAATAACAATAACAAATTCAGTAAAGCAATTTAAACAAACAATGAAATAGACTGGCAATTTACACGACAGACTGCTCTTCATAGACAGTACACAAACATTAACAAGGAATCCAGGATACCATATCAAGGGCTCAACGATTCTTGTATGGGTTTCACAATAACACCATGACGGTCAACGACCACAACACGGCAGACTGCTCTTCCCTAAATTGTTTCACCGGAAAAGGCTCCGGTTACAGACAAAGAATTCACGAAAAACTAACTTAAAATTTCATTGACATCGTTCACAAAAATCAATCATAGATGGGTTTCACAAGCAACAACAACCGAAGAACAAAGCCAAAACAAACAACCTTACCTCGAGAAATCGACGGCCGAAGGCGTCGTAGATCCATTTCATGGCGAACAGAGAAATGCAAAGAAATGGCGACGAACAGAGAAATGCGACGAAAATCCAACGAATANATAATAAAACTTAGAATTAATGCTCAATATAAAATCAACATAATAACGTCAACACATATTCATAAATTGGGCTACATCTGTAGCCCTAGAAAAGAGAGTTAGTTCATAATGGAAATAATGAAAATCATCATTCTATTCAATAACATGAGTTCAGAAATAAAAAAATATAAACACTTCTCTAATCGTTGAACGAGAGCTTCAAGAATCCCGATCTCCAAACTAGTAGCCGTCCTCCTCTTTCTCCCTCTCAAAACTCTCTAACACTTTTTAAAGACCCTTATTTATATCCTAGGGTTTTGATCTTACTTAGGAAAAGAGTAAATTGCCTTAGCCTATTCAGATTCGGATTAGGATAATATGTTAACATAACCAGCCCGTGACCCATCGCCGCGGCGGTAAGAACTGTCGCTACGACAATCGTTCTTTCTATCCAAACCGTTTGTCATAATTTGGTAAATTCATCAACATGAACTTTGTAGCTCTCTGAATAAGCTTTCCAACGCCATCATAATCGTCAAATTCTGATTTCCACAGCTCAAGTTATGATAGAAACATCAAAGAATGCTCATCTTGAAGGATTTCCAGATTTTACGTTCTATCTTCGACGTGTCACAACTTTCTCGTTTCAACTCCGATTCTTGTACCGTTTGTTCCTACGCGTCATGAATTCCACCGACATCATTATTTTCCCTTCAAATATCTGTTTAAACCTGAAAATACTCAAAATACACCCATGATCCCGTAAATGGTAATTATGAAAGAATTTATTCAAATACCACAATTTAAACACATTTTTCCGCAAATAATCCAATTAAATCACTAACAAAATATATACTTTCAAGCTCTTATCAATAAATCATAATGTCTTTAATAGAATTTAGAATTATATGTCTTATGCCTATTTATTCTACCAAATTAAAGATTCCTTCAAAACGCACAAAGCCCCTAGTCCCCACCACCAAACGCAATTTAGTCTTCACTACCCTTTACCCTTTTGAAATTTAATAAATAACAAAGCCCCTTTACCCTTTTGCAATATAGTCTTCACTACCCTATACCCTTTTGCAATTTACTCTTCATTGCCCTTTACCATTCAGTAATTTTAATTCCTCAACTCTGTTTAGTCTAAGGAGAACTAACATGATTAATAGACCCACCTTTGAAAAGATTCTTTAGAGATTTATAAACCTAAGTTAGTTGGAAAGAGATTTATGAACCATCAGATTTATAAATCTATTTCCAACTTTTTAGTCCAAGATTTCTCCCCCTAATATGCCAAATAATTTTATATTTTATTGTTATACTTTTCAAACTATCCTTTCGGACACTTTCCAAGAGCACCAGAAAACTTTCTTTTTCATTCTAAACATTATCATCCATGATATTACACTGTCATTTACCCTTTTGCCATTAGTTATTACACTGGGCTTTACCCTTTTGCCATTTTACATTACACTAGCCTTTACCCTTTTGCCATTTTACATTACACTACCTTTTACCCTTTTGCAATTTAAGCATCACTGCTCTTTACCCTTTTGCAATTTAATATATAACAAAGCCTCCAGTCCCCACCACCAAATGCAGAACCACAACCAAAAACAAATTTATAAATTGCCCTTCTACTATCTACTGTAAAACAAATTCCCACAAGTAGAAGTCCACAACCACAACCACAACCACAGTCCACAAACAAATTAACAAACTCCTTTGCAATTTCAATTTTGTCCCACAAGTCCACAACACAACCACAACCACAAACAATAACAATAACAAATTCAGTAAAGCAATTTAAACAAACAATGAAACAGACTGGCAATTTACACGGCAGACTGCTCTTCATAGACAGTACACAAACATTAACCAAGAATCCAGGATACCATATCAAGGGCTCAACGATTCTTGTATGGGTTTCACAATAACACCATGACGGTCAACGACCACAACATGGCAGACTGCTCTTCCCTAAATTGTTTCACCGGAAAAGGCTCCGGTTACAGACAAAGAATTCACGAAAAACTAACTTAAAATTTCATTGACATCGTTTACAAAAATCAATCATAGATGGGTTTCACAAGCAACAACAACCGAAGAACAAAGCCAAAACAAACAACCTTACCTCGAGAAATCGACGGCCGAAGGCGTCGTAGATCCATTTCATGGCGAACAGAGAAATGCAAAGAAATGGCGACGAACAGAGAAATGCGACGAAAATCCAACGAATAAGACAGTGGAAGAATATAATGACGAAAATACGACGAAAATCTGATTGGAAGTTGTCCTAATGACGGTGACAAAAATTGTGATTTGGGATTAGTTTTACGGCACAATTTCATCTTTCGACGAAAATCAACGATTTGGGGATTTTAATAACGGAGGCCATTTTGTTATTTTTAAAAAACTTGTTGCATAATTTTCAATTCAATCCCATTTCTTCAGAAAACCTCAAAAAACCCCCCGGTTTTTCGAGTCAAGCTCGGCTCACTAGCCTAACGAGACGAGCCGCGCATGGCTCGAACTCGGCTCGTTATGTCTCACGAGCCGAGCCGGCTCGTTATCAGATGAACCAAGCTGTTAACGAGCCGAACTCGAGCTGAGCCGAGCCCGCTCGCATGTGGCTCGGTTCGTTAAGCACTCCTAATTATATGCACTCCAGATGAGCGAAGGTACAAACTTTTTGTCACATTTGAATGTTTTTACAGGTTTGATTTTGCAGTTAGGAAACCTCGGATGGAAGAATTCCAGGAGGAAAGTGGCGCGAAGATGCACCTTAGATCACTCAAACCGAAATTATAATTAGCTACCGATCGAGATTGATCAGTAAAGTATCCCATCTCCATTATAGAATTGATTTGCGCCAACTAACATAATTAAGTGCGACAGGCTAACTAACCATTACTAATGTTAATTAATTATATATAAACGACAACACCACCTTCTTAACTTAAATGGTTGTAGTCTATATATCTGTTGAAATTTGAAACTGAAACGGCACGCATGCTTATAAATACTATTTGTATGATTCAACTTATCATATTGTAAAAATTTTATCAGTAAGATTAATCAATAACCTATCCAACCCCACTTTTAAAGTTACATGTAAAATAGAGATAAACATTAATTGTTATTTATTATTCAAGCTAGGGCAATGCAATGCAGGCTAGCCTCTCCAACCGCTACGGATACCTCACCTCACCTCATTTTTAACATTAATTAATGAGTTATAAACGACAACAAAAGCTTCATGTCTTCTGCGCTCAGAGGGTTGTCATGGAAATATATAAATCCAAAAGCCTCAATTTGAAACGGCACGCAATATATATATATATATGCAATCAAGACTAATCTCGTTATCAAAAATTCTACGTAGGCATCAATCTATAAACTTAATTTTCTTCTCCTCTCATTTTTTAACCTTAAAACCAGCAACAAAACAAATATTGATTTCTCACCCTCATAAACACTTCTCCTCTTTTTCTTTTTCCTTATATAGAAGGAAAACTATATATTATTGCCAGTTTCGATCGAGACACTCATCTCTTCATTTTTCCTTATATATGGAGTGAAAGTTTTAATACATGCACTAACCCTGAGAAGGGATAATCACTGTCAGATCTAAAGCTACGTACGGAGGACAGTTTGCAGCTTCTACTCTGCACTAAAGGTTGTCTTTCTTCTTATTTATGTTTTAAATTTGTTTCTTAAGTTGAGGAATGTATCACAATCCATTTTGTGTTGCGATTGACATTATTTCTTTTCCGACTTTGGCAGTAAGCAAGAGAAGACGGAGCACAGTTTGACATGAATTCAAAAGATACAGCGTTGGGTGCAACGGAATCAATCGACCAAAGAGTTCTTGGCGCGGCCGCATCAACGTTGATGAAGGACGTCCGTACGATGAATAGGTAAATTACTTTTAATTAAATAATTTTCAACCTAATTCTTTATACACCAACGAATCACACTTAATTTTTTGGGTGCATAAATTAAACTGCCTTTATGATCGATCCTGACCAGAAACACGCCATAATAATATAGCCATGTCGATAAACTATATGTGTCTAAATGAGAACTTTAAATTTCATTTACTGCATCGGTTGTCTCATATCTTGTTCATTAATGAAAATGATCTGTATTGTGGGGAGATTAAATTATATTTCTTTTGAAACAATTGGGTTCCATTATTGTTTTGAGTAAAATCCTACCATATATAAGTTTCCAGTCTTTATTTTAACCCTGTTGGCGAGAAGAGTAAAAACTGTGTTATGGTGATGACAAATACAATTTATTGTGATTCTAATATTCCAACGAACAGATGTATGGACATTGAGTGACATTTAAAATTGATTTTTTTAATGGAGAACGTCAATTGAATTTAAAAAGAAAGGATGTTTAACTAACTTAGCCTCTAATAATGTATATGATAAGGTACTAATAAGTTAAAAATAGGTTCAACTGTGTTAACAGAAAAAAGTAGCTAGATATATAGTACCTTACGGGAAACTTCTTTTCGGTCAAAAGCTGATATGTTATATTTGTTGAATCGCGGGAAATCAGATAAAGCTCCCGTATGGCAATTTTCCTCCATCTCCAATCGCCAAATACATCTAATTCTTGCTGCATCCTTAATTATACTATCCATGCACCTCTCTCCTTTCTATGATGTAAAAAGAAACATAAAAGGTAAGCACTGGACAGTGTCATCTCGAGTTTCTATGAGCAAGTTTCATTCTGTTAATATTTAATTTATACACTTATGTTTGTTTTGCCCAGAAGTCAGGCCTGCATATAAACGTAAAATTCAAAACATTATATATATATATATATATATTTGGTTTCAACTTTTCTTGAAGCAGGCCGGCTGGGGGACAAAGATCTCTCGTAGTTTCCCATGCCAATAGTTTATTGTTATTTTGAAAATATTATATTGGTGCCTGTTGAGGACTATTTTTTTTTCTGTTTTTGTTTTTGTTTTGGGCATGCTTGTAACAGGAGAAGAAAAAGAATGGAATGTAGCAGTGCAGGAAAAGGTAATGGTGAAGTAAGACGACTTCATATTGTTTACTTCCTGAGTCGTATGGGTCGCATTGAGCATCCTCATCTTATTCGAGTTCATCATCTCACTCGAAATGGGGTTTATCTGCGAGGTAAGTTAATTAGTAAATACCTCTGTGTAATTGTTTGGTTCCATAGTTCCATTCTTGATGGTCTTGGTTCTTCCATTTCCATATGAAAAGATGTTAAAAGGTGGCTAGCAGATGTGCGAGGTAAAGATATGCCGGACGCCTTTACTTGGTCCTACAAGAGGTTTGTACATGTACTCCTTACTTATTTTATGTTGATTACTCTGCTAATTAAAACTGCATGTATGTGAATGCGATAATTAATTTAGCGTTTCAATTACTGTATAAAATATGCAGGAGATACAAGAGTGGTTACGTCTGGCAAGACTTATTGGACGATGATCTTATCACCCCAATCTCTGACAATGAATATGTTCTCAAGGGCTCTGAAACTATTCCCTCTTCCCCATTCGGTATTCAAATACATATTATAAGCCAGAATTATTGTGATGATGTTTCTGTTTTATAAGTTAAATATTAAGTCACCCCTTCTATATGCAATTGAACAGATCCTTGTTCATATATTGAAAAGAGAAGCTCTTCCATCTTCAGAAATGATGATCAAGATCAACCTTCACCCAAAGAAGAAATTCAAGATTCTACAGTACTCAATTCCCCAACCCAGACCTCGTCTGAAATTTACCAAGACTTACCTCTCTTTGGCTCTGAGAGGTCAACTTTGACGGACGATTCATTACTAAAGCTAGATGAAGAGGACAAAACCAAACAAAGAGAAACTTGCGAAAATTATTCTTCTTTTTATTCAAGTCTGTTGAATAAGAAGAAGACGAAGAACAAGACGACAAATAACACAAACAACAACGACATAGAAAAGATGGGTAAACCAGGTTCATTATTCTCATCGTCTAGGCCATCCTTTGCAAAGAGCAAGAGCTACTCGAACGGAGCTTCTAATATGTTCCGCAATTTGATTAAATGTGGTGCCGTTGAAACAAATGACTCTGTTTTAGTCTCTGTTAATCGGGCTGATAAATCTTGTTCAACGAAGTCCACCAACACCAACCATCCCGATACTAGAGCTGCGGCGATTTGTCAAGTAGAAAGAATTGGAGGGTCTGCCAGGATTTTTGGCACTCCATGGAATAATCAACATAATCATGTTATGTCAATAGCCATGTAGTTTAATTAATTTTATTGAAACTTATAGACAAAATCAAAGCGTATATATAAATAAGACAAAAAAAAAAAAAAAATGTTTTTTTGTACAGGAAGAGCTTTGATGGGGTAAGGAGTTCAAAGAAGAAGCACAACGAATTTGCTGGCCCAAAACCGGTGTCTGCTGCATACAAGCCAGTGGGTGGACCGACTTGCTCGTAAGTCATTTGCCTATTTTATCATACTTGTGTTTTGTATCATATGAGGATACCTGAAATCTTACATAAAAACTGATTTCATGATTATATATCCACCTGCAATTGCAAAAACAACTGTTTTATTATGTTACCAACAGTGCTAGCCGGATCCTCTTATGTTTAGGTGGTCTTAATAATGTTAATTGTAAAATAATTGAGTATTTCAGCTTGGTTACATCTGACTTGATGCGGGTAGGGTGAGTAGGTCCTGTTGGGAAGATTCAAGTGTCCTTTTAACTTTTTATGTCGCCCATAAGATAAGCTGACCAGTAACCAAACTGTGGCAGGCAATGCGGGAAATTGTTCAAGCCAGAAAAATTGCACACACATATGAAGTCCTGCAAAGGAATGAAAGCAATAGCAAAGACTGCTGCGGTTTCTGTTGAGATGACACCATCACATTCACAGAGATCAATAAATGTGAATTTGTCAAATGAAGAATCAACTTCTGCCTCCCTCTTGACAAGAACTGAATTTTGAACTGTTTAATTTTTTATATTTTGTTTTTCTTCTATAGCGTATATTGTTATTGTATGGAAAAAGTAAGTGCCCTTTTTTTTTTCTTAATTATCTTCTTCTATATGAAAGGAATAGAGAGAAGAAATACTAATAGAGCTATATTTCTTGGTCTTTAAAACATCTTCTCCCTGTTATGATTATGGACATTAAGGATGGCCAAAACCTGGAATCCCATCCTACAGAAACACAAAGAAGAATCCAAAACCTTTTGGCCATAAATGTCTAGTTGAGAAATGAGATATTTACAACTAGAGTTTTCGTATTTAAAATATTTTAATGGTACAGAGAGCCTAGCTAGTCAAGCACCAAAATGATATTTAACATTACCATCCCGATCTGAGACTTCTATGTCTAATCTTAAACTATAGTAACTTAAACCATGGTGAAAGTATTTGAGATTAATAATGTAACAGGCCAATTCTACTCCAAGCAGATAGCTCACCCTTTATTAATGGCCTACCTAATATCAACAAATCAATTCATTCAGATTCGGAACACTCTTAGTCAACACATTCATAGTACAGAGCTACCTGAATTTGAATAAGAGTAGAAAATGAAACATGAATTCTACACAATTGAATGCTAACGTGAATTTACCATAAAACATAATAGATTTCATCTATACACTTGAATAGTAAAGGTAGTAAGAGTTAAAGCCATTGCGTACTGTCTGGGTGTGAGCTTCCCTAAATTAGTAGAATTCAGAAAATAAGTGGGTAAAATTTGAAAATGATCAGTTGACAGAAATTACTGACCCACATATGCTATCAGAATTTTGACCATATACCAATGGCCGCTAAAATCTGAAATTAGTCAGTGGTACTGAATATATCCAAGTGTTATTTTAGTTAGCTCTTATCATATTCATCTACTTACCCGCAACTACACTAGATTCAACATGCTCAAGCAGGAACCCATATAACTTCTTCCTCAAGCTCTCTATCCTGTCATCAGCCTCCACTCCACCCTTGACCAAGTTATCCAACCATTCATTCACTCTTTTAAGCTGTCTAAGAAGACATGCAATTTCAGAACTTCCTTCTCCTCTGCCCAACCCAAATCCCATTTTTAATGAATCCTCCAAGTACTTCAAGAACCACTGATGAGAAACCAAGAGAAGTTTTTCTGCTAAACTTGCTGCCTTTTTTAGTCCACTTCCTTTACACCAGTCCTTTCTTTCAGGATTCATTTTCTTTGTGCTTGGAAGATGCTGCTTTGTAGGAGATGGCACCCGCTTACCACTTGAATCGGATATGAAGCTGCCACGATTTCTAGGATTTGGATTGCTTTCAGGCAAATGATTATTGAAATTTGTTACATTCGGAGTATTTTCTAAGATGACAAAATGATATTTATCACTATTAACAATTTCACTCCTTTCTGGCTTTCTGAACAAACTGAATTTTGAAAGATCAGTCTCTATAGCAGCATGAACCCATGACATGGCATTTCTATTGGTTAAAGTCTTCCACACATCTGGAAAAAGACTATTTAAGCTAGAATAAGTGCTTGATTTTGCTTCAGGAAGATTTTTGTTAATTAAGGAATTAACCATTGCTGCTGCTCTGTGCATACTCTGATGGACTTCCAAAAATTGCTCCACCAGTGCCCCAGCAGATAATTTCTGAGAGGAGTTGCACAACTCGGTAAATAATCTGGAAAAGAAAATTCAATCATCACATATATTTTAAGATTAAACAAGGAAAAAGAATTGAGAAAAGAAAAAATGTTTAATATGAACTGTATAACTTTAAGGAAATAACAACTGTCTGTGGGTATTAGCTAGTATAGTAGGAATAACAGCTGCTTGTGAATACTAAATACCAGCTAGTTTACTTAGAAAGGTCCCCTTTGGATACATGAGATCTGGGATCAAATTCCAATCATATAGGAGTTGTGCGCAGAAGCAGGGGAAAAAAGAAAGAAAAAATCATGATTGGCAAAAATGATAGCACATTCAAATCTCATTGAATAAGTCAACATAAATGCCCAATATAAGTGCTCAACATTGAGGTTCGCTCAGACTATCATATATTTATGAATAATAATAATATTGTCTCCTCATCTACCATGGATATTCAAGAGATAGACTGTGCCGGAAAATATATGAAACCTATTGTTTGTTTGACATAAGCAATTTTGGAAAGAAACTCAGTGAGTTGAGTAAGTTAGGTACTACTCAAATCTGCTTTTAGGTCTCAGAGTAATGGAAAAGTGAATCCAAGATTCATCAGCCAGATAATAGGATTAATGAAAACATAATAAAAGCACAGCCACAATTGGAAAGCAGAAGGCAGAGCAATACAAGTCACGTACTGCAAACAATATATTACAGCCTCACTAGCCGATGCTTCTTCTAGTGCACGTACAGCTGATAGAAAAGCAACATTCCTCTGACAAACAGCTTCCTGAGAGTGTCAAGGGGATAGGAACTCAGGATTTGGCATCACATGGACTGGACTATTATACATGTAATAAATTCATACCTTCCCAAGGTCCTGAATGATAGGTGGCAACACATCCCATGAAATCCTCCTATTGGACCAAGTTTTGTGATCGAGAGGCACTTTAACAAGATGGCAAGGAACAGCTCTATCAGTTGAAGACCTGAATTCGTTTCGAGAAGGCATGCTCTTTGGTTTTGGAGAAAAGTTATCATTTTTGTTGTTTAATGGTGAAATACTAAAACTAGGACGCTTCATTGAAGAAATATTCTTGGAAGAATCCTTCTTATCAACAGCAACCTGCAGAAATGTCCGGTTCTCAGTAACAAAGTTGGGTCAGGTGCAAAGAGTATCGAATTGTGAAATTTAACTAATAAAACTTTCAAGTTTAGGAGGAGACAGATAAAGGTTATTGTTTGCCTCTCATTGTAATCAAAATCTCCACATAAAGGAATGCAATGTCGTAATGAGTTTGCAGGAGTTTAAATCTCCAAATAGCCTACCAACTCACCAGGAGCTAACAAAGCCAAAGAACTGTCAGAACTGCATAATTAATGCGTGAAGCACACAAACTTGAAGCCTTACCTAGACATCTCTTCCTGCTTTTATTATTTTTGGTTATTTTAAGAAATTACATTAGTAAATTATGAGCTTATTTGCTGGTTAGTCAAATATTATCTTGTGCATAAGCACATAGAAGGGCGAATAAAAAACAAATGTTTGCGACAGCATCTACAAACACACTCTTAATTACACTGGAAAGGAACCTTGAAAAGCGATGAAGAAAGACTCATCGAATACGACCAAGGGAATTTACAATGTGAATGGAACATTACTCAAAATGTTTCACAATGTAACCAGCCCTTATGACTCGGAAACGTGCAAAATACAGACTAGTTCAAAAAAGATAAAAAAAACAATTAACCAAATTAGGCAAAATGAAACCTTGTGGAGCATAAATAAAAAAAAAATGGTAAAACGGAGTTGTGCAAGAATGTGAACTTACAGAAGCTGCTATTTCTTTTGATTTAGAAGCGGATGAAATGTTGTAACCCCATCCTCTTCTGGAAGAATCCAAACTCAATCTCCTCAACTCCAATCCCTCAGGCTGAGCTCTCCCCTTTGAATCTTCAAAGACCAATCTCTTTGTCTTTGAACCCTTAACACTCTCCTTTTTGAAGTGCACAGGAGGTCGAAGCTGCAGCAAATCACTTGACACCAAATCTTTAGGACTCCCGACACAAGGCCTTCTTTTAGGAAGCGCCTTTAACCCACAAACCACAGGCACTGGGAAACCAGAATCAAAGCGTGAGACGTATACGAACTGTCCTAGCTGTATTTTGTCACTAAAAATGAGGTCAAGGTCTTGATGAGAGATGGAAACATAAGCAGAATGGAGAGAGTCAGAGAGCTTCAAGAAGAAGCCTCTACTTCGAAAGGGGTCATCGTCGAGTGAGGGAATGATCTCGATGACTTGAAGAAGGGGAGAACGGTGCTCTCCAATGACTTTGACGTTCTTGTTGCCGGTGTTCTCCAGTAGCTTGGAAAGCACTCCGGGAGTTAAAGAAGCCATGAGAATGAGAATGCAAATGCTAACAAAAAACAGAACAACCAAAATTTTAAGATGGGGAAAGAGATAGAGACAGGTCACAATCGAATCTCAATGAGGCATTGGGGATGACGCTTTCTAGGGCTTGGGAAAAGAGAAGAGTAGACAAGAGGAGGTGTAGTGTGGTTTAGCAGAGCAAGAAGCAGAGAGGGTTCGCTAAAGAAAGAAAGAAAGAAAGAGCACAGTTTCCAAGTTAATCTTGCAGCTAGCTATAGGAAACAACAAGCTAATAATACCAACAGGATTCTCTAATCCCATCTCATACATCTGAGCAAGCAACCACTGTTTGAAGTCAGAAAGCTACTTTGCAATACAATATTAGGTCAGACTTAGAGATTCTGCTGCTTTCACCCTAAATATTATTAAATCCAACCTTAGTGGGCACCACATTCTTCTTCTTGGTGAACATATATATACAGACATACATACCATTACGGCATTACCAGTAGCTTGCCGCTTGAGAAGACATGCGGTCCACTCTTTTTATATACCATAAATAAGTCAACGTATTGTCAAGGAAGCACATAACAATAAAAAATTAGCTTCTCAACAAATGAGGGTTATAGGTTTCTCCATTTGTTAGCAAAAGGTGACGTGTGGCTTGGCAACATTAAGCAACAATTTAGCACGAACTTGTCTTTAATTGTTGTCAAATGGACTCAAAATTAAGTGAAAACATGAAACACCAACTACCGAAAAAGAGGTAGTTAAGATTTTCAGCCTCTACTATTGATCACAAAGGTAGCCCCTGTGTAATTAATTATGGTAAATAATTTTTACCATTACACTTTCCACTGATGTTCAAACCTTATATTATATATGATTGTAAATGTTTTTCACTATCCATAAATATAAATATAACTGATAGGTGACGAATTGAATTGAAATATAGTTACCATTACATTAATGTTTGGTACCACTTCACCTTCTGCATTCTGCCTTCTGCCCTCTGCTAATTGAAAGAAAACCGACATTTTACCTTTTTTTTTTTATTTAGTGCCTCTGAACTTTTAACTACCCCTTAATTGCTTATTAAGCAAACTCCTTCTTAACTCTTAAGTGATGAGATCAAATCATGTTTTATTTCCCTAGAAACACCTACAACATACTATCAGCTATTAACCGACAATGGGAAGTGAGTGCAATCCGACTAAACCTCGTTTTGATATTACCATGTCAAGGAGAACCAGAAAACCAGNCAAGAAGAAGCCTCTACTTCGAAAGGGGTCATCGTCGAGTGAGGGAATGATCTCGATGACTTGAAGAAGGGGAGAACGGTGCTCTCCAATGACTTTGACGTTCTTGTTGCCGGTGTTCTCCAGTAGCTTGGAAAGCACTCCGGGAGTTAAAGAAGCCATGAGAATGAGAATGCAAATGCTAACAAAAAACAGAACAACCAAAATTTTAAGATGGGGAAAGAGATAGAGACAGGTCACAATCGAATCTCAATGAGGCATTGGGGATGACGCTTTCTAGGGCTTGGGAAAAGAGCAGAGTAGACAAGAGGAGGTGTAGTGTGGTTTAGCAGAGCAAGAAGCAGAGAGGGTTCGCTAAAGAAAGAAAGAAAGAAAGAGCACAGTTTCCAAGTTAATCTTGCAGCTAGCTATAGGAAACGACAAGCTAATAATACCAACAAGATTCTCTAATCCCATCTCATACATCCGGGAAGCAAGCAACCACTGTTTGAAGTCAGAAAGCCACTTTGCAATACAATATTAGGTCAGACTTAGAGATTCTGCTGCTTTCACCCTAAATATTATTAAATCCAACCTTAGTGGGCACCACATTCTTCTTCTTGGTGAACATATATATACAGACATACATACCATTACGGCATTACCAGTAGCTTGCCGCTTGAGAAGACATGCGGTCCACTCTTTTTATATACCATAAATAAGTCAACGTATTGTCAAGGAAGCACATAACAATAAAAAATTAGCTTCTCAACAAATGAGGGTTATAGGTTTCTCCATTTGTTAGCAAAAGGTGACGTGTGGCTTGGCAACATTAAGCAACAATTTAGCACGAACTTGTCTTTAATTGTTGTCAAATGGACTCAAAATTAAGTGAAAACATGAAACACCAACTACCGAAAAAGAGGTAGTTAAGATTTTCAGCCTCTACTATTGGTCACAAAGGTAGCCCCTCTGTAATTATGGTAAATAATTTTTACCATTACACTTTCCACTGATGTTCAAACCTTATATTATATATGATTGTAAATGTTTTTCACTATCCATAAATATAAATATAACTGATAGGTGACGAATTGAATTGAAATATAGTTACCATTACATTAATGTTTGGTACCACTTCACCTTCTGCATTCTGCCTTCTGCCCTCTGCTAATTGAAAGAAAACCGACATTTCACCTTTTTTTTTTATTTAGTGCCTCTGAACTTTTAACTACCCCTTAATTGCTTATTACGCAAACTCCTTCTTAACTCTTAAGTGATGAAATCAAATCATGTTTTATTTCCCTAGAAACACCTACAACATACTATCAGCTATTAACCGACAATGGGAAGTGAGTGCAATCCGACTAAACCTCGTTTTGATATTACCATGTCAAGGAGAACCAGAAAACCAGCATCCAACCTCGCTGATCCTACGAGCTCTGTTGATGAAGTAGAAGAAAATAATAATCAAAAGAGTTTGAAGCAACTGATGATAAACGGGGATGAAACATCAAAGAAGAAGAATGGTGAAGAGAGCAAAAGCAGGAATTCACTTGGAGAACACTTCACAGAAGAAGAGAAACAGCTTCAATTGGTGAAATTGCAGCAACAAAAAGGAGAGAAGCTGAAAGGAATGGTAAACCGTTATGTTAAAGTTTTAAGTCATTTGATCAAGGTGAAGCGCGACCCACGTTCTATTGGATCCACCAAAAAACCTCTTCTTCGGTTAAAGGTGTAGAATTTTTTTCATCATAATTACCTAAGCAAACACTATCCATTGTTATAAATACTTTTGCTTGTTCATGTATCAGCTCAACTACTTGAATTACTAGTATATTAATCGCATTTCACTCATGATATTCTTATTTACATGTTTGTCTGATGTCATATTTTATTTGAGTGGACACAAACATCCCATGTTTGCAAAAATTCTCAAAGCTATCACAGAGGTAATGTCATCAACCAACTAGAATTAGTGCCATCAACTTAACTCTCTTTTTTCTGGCCAAGCCTAAAGCCACACAGCCTGCTCGGAAAAATTAAGTTAGTCAGATCCTGAAGCAAATACATAAACAAACTCAAAATAACGATGTCAAATTCAAAGCATACCAAAATACTGTTGTCTAAAGACATGCACAATAGATAGAACTAACATTCATTCCAGTTTTGTAAATTGCATAAATGAACAAGAATGATATTTCTTCACTAACTATTGAGAATTAATACATCTCTTTTGTGACATTTCAACATAAATGAATGTTTCTCTAAACAAATACCTGAGTATTAAGATTCTATAGTAGAATGTTCTGTCAGATTGAAAAGCAAGCGATAACTTGCCCATTTTTTTATTTTAATTTTTTCCAAAACAAAATATGTAAAGAATCATCTCACTCGACTAATTTGTATTCAAATATTGCATCTTCCCAACATAGAATTGCCAAGGCCATACTGCTCTTTTCAGATGACAAACAAAGAAACAGCAAAACCTCCTACAAGTTTCATATATTCACAGCAAATTGGCTCTTTTTGGACTTCATTCCAACAGGGGCTCCATTAAAGGTTTTGAATATGGAGTATGTAGTTTCATGGTGTATGTGACAGCCACTCCAACAAGAGAACAAAACGCTGGAACAAGACCCAAACCATATCTCGTAACCGAAATATAAGTACTACTTGTTGAGCTGTTATCCAGGAATGTTGGCGAAGAACCTGTATAAAAGCTTATGGTGTCAAATAGATTTTTTCAACTCAAAATTAGCACATCTGGAAGGGAAGAGTTAAAACTGGTTACTGGAAACCTTACCCAGTATTTATAAAAATTGGCCTACATGTACTTACTTTGATATGACTGAAGAACGTAGAGGGCAAGCCCACATGACATTTTGTCCAAGAAACTTAATGTTCCACAAACAAATGCACAACCATTGAGATCTTCACCGATTAGCACATTTTGCATGCTTATTCCAGTCACCTATTATGTTAATGAAAAATAGAAATAATGACAACAATAAGTTTTTCTTTTTACTAGAAAGAAAAAAAAAACATAATACATCTTATAAAAGAAAAATAAAAGGCTGAATTTGAAAGCATTACATGAAAAGAAAAGAAAGCTAAAGCAGAGTTTGTTATTAGAATACAACATACCATCATTAGCGCATTTGCTATACCCATAAATATTGATATGACATACATGAATGCACTCATGCTTCTAGGTAAAACAAGGATTGCTGCACCACAAAATATCCAAATGATGCCTCCAGCTGAATAGAAAGCCTTCAGGCGCTGGCCAGTCCATGCCATTTCCTATATACTCATATCTAATGGTTAAATTTCAAAAGAAGAAATAATATATATGTACATAAATCCTGTAAATAAATTCATCAAGGAGCCAGGTTTCATGAAGAGGACCTGAAGAAGAATGGATACGATGAAGCTGCATATGTAGATGATGGCAGGAACCTAATCCCATCAATCAGACAATATAATTAGCTTAGCATTCAACTCCCGCATCTAAAATAACCAAGATTGTTAAAATTCAAATGCTGAAAGTGATGGGTGCCTACCAGTGCTTTAGCTGATTGGGCCATTTGCAACTCGTTAATGACATAGAATGCAAGATATGCCTGGACATAGGTAACCAAAAAAATCAACTTGATGTGAGAAATATACGGATCATATACCAAATATTTACATATCACTTTGCACTTTTTTTAGGCAGCCAATATTAGAGGCTGGTTTTCAAAGTAATCTGTCCATAGAAAAGGAGTTTCCCTCAGATTCAGACCTGTGAAACATTGACTACTAGTCTGGTGAGCATATAAACAAGAGCAACTTGATAGTACAAAGTTTTCTTGAACCAGTACACCCATGAAATCCTTGTGTGTCTATTTCCTTGAACATCCATCTGTAATCTACATAAAATAGAATTGTTTATCATTGTCATAATCAAGAAGCTATAATTGCATAAACCACCAAATAACCCAAAGAGTTTTCAGTGACAGAAGGTGTCTTTAATTTGTTTTAATAGTCAGCACACATTTGCCTAGCGTTGCATTTTCTCATAGGCAAAGCAAGTTTATAAACACATGCTTTTAAAAAAAAAAAAGCGCTCACGGAACTTGCCTTATACCATTAAAAGCAATAGAAAAGTGATATCTTTATACATTGAGGCCCATGGAAAATTAAAAACCTAGGAAAAAAACGCCTGTCTTGATTTTGTCTTTACTCAATCCACATGATAAAAATAGTATTAGAACAAAAATGGTTTTACAATTAGCATATAGAAAAAAAATGATTTCTGATGTGCAGTCTGTATAAAAGATTATCAAAGCATCCCTTGTAAAGAGAAAGAAAACCTTAAGAAATCTAGATACCTTGGTTCTTGGGTTCCGAGAAGAAATATTCCCACAAAGCAGCATCCAATAAAAATTGATGAGTATGCGATCCACCGGTACTGCTCATTGCGGAGTAATTAACAATCTTGCCCAAAGTAAAGCTCTTAACTACACAAATAGAACTCTTTAAAGAAGCATATATACCTGATTTTCAAGATCGGCATGCGTTTTTTCACTGCTCACACTAAAAACAATTAGAGCAATAGCATATAGGCCGAGGTTGGCAACCTGAAAAGCATTCAGATTAACAGAAAATAAGAGTACAACCTTCAATGATGCTGCATAAAGTTGGGAGAAAACTGTATCGCAAAACTAGTAAGCAAAGAGAAGAGAACCATTGTAAAAGCATTGCGGCAGCTTGTCAACACTACTCTGTTAGTTGAATTCAGGGTGATGCAGTTTACCATTGACCTTCAACAAAGCAATTATAATTCAGACCATATGTAAGCATAAGTAATTCATATACAAGGAAAGCTTAGTGAATGAGTGTCTTCTTTCTTATTTAGCTACCCATTGACGAGGTGGAGAAGAGCTCCCTTGGTGTCCCCATGCTCTGATGGATATCAATTTCTCACCCTGTTTAATTTAATGATCTCTCTAAAATAAGATAATCTCTTCATTTCAGTCCGAAAGGAAGTGAGATGTTGTGATGAATCCTATTATAGAAATAGAAACCACTATAAGGGAAAACCTGATGAGGACTTTTTACTGGGTTCTATTCTAACAATGATGGTAGGACATCAGCATTTCTATCAAGAGTGGTATAGATGAGGACCCCCCCCCAAAACAAAAATTATGTTGCTATCCACGTTTCAATTTACAAGCATGGAGCTATAGAGATTATTACATGTGTGAAACTTGTGTAGCAGCCCAGCCTACATTAAAGATGGCAGCGAAAACACAGTATGAGATAGTTTCCACTGTCAGTGAAGACGTAGCAAGGATTCTACAGGGCATGCAACCACCAAAAACTGAAGAAAATGAAACAGCAACCAAAACAGATCCTGCGGCATGCCATATTTTGAAATGTCCAAACCTGTCTATCTGTCGAGTAAAAGAACACATAAAAGTAACAAAAGGAAAAGAATTAACAAAATATACCATTATACCTGAACATAAAAGGAAAATAGGAAGATTCTTAAAATTAGAAAAAATTTCAATTATGAAAAGACACAATCTGGATATCAAAGTGCCCAATCAGTATAAAGTACATGTGAGTACAGATTTTAAACATACAGTAGAAGAACTTCACAAGTTCCATGCTCCATGACATCCTTATCTGCCTCTGAATAAAATTGTAAGTGATTCTCCTAGAAAAATGCATTCACTTGAATACATTTTTTTGCAGAATAGCATGTTGTACAATTCAAGCAACCTTTATTTGTAAGAACCCACTAATGCAGAGTTCTGATTAGGCAATCTCTACATCACTCTGGACGAGAGTATTTTGTAAAACAATGTTCTACAATTATTATTCAATTTCAAATTCTGAAAAACCAAAAGAAATGTGATAGGGAAATATTATGAATGAAATATCTATATTATTTTTACTCTCATAATACCAGTTCACCAACAAATACGGTAGCAAACCCATCAGCTATCTGACCAGAAAGCATAGCAGCAGCAGCATCCCTGTTAAACAAGCAGAATATATCAGAAATTTTGGAAATACAACACAGAAAGACAATTTTTTTTTTTTTTTTTTCATAAAAACATAGGATATTGACCAGCACAATAGAATTAAGTTATAATCAATAAGGGAAATGTTTTTTTAAAACGTAAGATATTGACCAGTGCTTGTTATCTGTGTTATAAACTCTCTAATACAACAGACAAGTAATACAAAGCCAAAGGGCACTTCTGCAACNACGTTTCAATTTACAAGCATGGAGCTATAGAGATTATTACATGTGTGAAACTTGTGTAGCAGCCCAGCCTACATTAAAGATGGCAGCGAAAACACAGTATGAGATAGTTTCCACTGTCAGTGAAGACGTAGCAAGGATTCTACAGGGCATGCAACCACCAAAAACCGAAGAAAATGAAACAGCAACCAAAACAGATCCTGCGGCATGCCATATTTTGAAATGTCCAAACCTGTCTATCTGTCGAGTAAAAGAACACATAAAAGTAACAAAAGGAAAAGAATTAACAAAATATACCATTATACCTGAACATAAAAGGAAAATAGGAAGATTCTTAAAATTAGAAAAAATTTCAATTATGAAAAGACACAATCTGGATATCAAAGTGCCCAATCAGTATAAAGTACATGTGAGTACAGATTTTAAACATACAGTAGAAGAACTTCACAAGTTCCATGCTCCATGACATCCTTATCTGCCTCTGAATAAAATTGTAAGTGATTCTCCTAGAAAAATGCATTCACTTGAATACATTTTTTTGCAGAATAGCATGTTGTACAATTCAAGCAACCTTTATTTGTAAGAACCCACTAATGCAGAGTTCTGATTAGGCAATCTCTACATCACTCTGGACGAGAGTATTTTGTAAAACAATGTTCTACAATTATTATTCAATTTCAAATTCTGAAAAACCAAAAGAAATGTGATAGGGAAATATTATGAATGAAATATCTATATTATTTTTACTCTCATAATACCAGTTCACCAACAAATACGGTAGCAAACCCATCAGCTATCTGACCAGAAAGCATAGCAGCAGCAGCATCCCTGTTAAACAAGCAGAATATATCAGAAATTTTGGAAATACAACACAGAAAGACAATTTTTTTTTTTTTTTTTTCATAAAAACATAGGATATTGACCAGCACAATAGAATTAAGTTATAATCAATAAGGGAAATGTTTTTTGAAAACGTAAGATATTGACCAGTGCTTGTTATCTGTGTTATAAACTCTCTAATACAACAGACAAGTAATACAAAGCCAAAGGGCACTTCTGCAACATGCTGTTAAACAGAATAATAAGATCGTGTTTTCCAAAAAAAGAAAAAAAGGAATCTCAAATCACTCAGACATCATCTCTTCATCTTTCTACGAATTTACACACTCAAATCATATTAATGATCTTGTTAGAAGGGCCCAGCACATGCTTAGCTAACGCAAGGCTGTGATAGAGATCATTCCGACCAGAAAACAACACTGAACAAACTGGATGCAATAGTTTTCACGGTCCATATGGCCACATGACTCTCTTAGTGTGAAACTGGCATCCTATTTCTCCTCCAATTTCTTATAATATATTTCCTATTTTTTCCCTCTCGTTCGGTCCTAAATTTGTGGGGCTCTAGACAGGACTCTTTAATGACATGTACATCATATTCCAGGTTACATGCTTATTTTCATTAAACCATATATTTCAATGTGCTGCAAACATAATACATAAGTGAATATGTACAGACTATCACTAGATACTTTTGCCCTTCATCAAATTCACTCATCAACAGGATAGAGAATTATCACCATCTTGTAAATTTTTTATTTTTTCCATACAAACTATCACTTATCTGATAACAATGAACAGATCATGTATATATCTCCAGCTGGAATTGGAAAGGAAAAAGTATATTACAATTTACAAATGCATTATATTCTTATAATCTGCGTAAAAGGTGATGAGATAGATACCTTGGGGAAAGTCCAATATCTGTCAGGAACAATAAGAGGTAAGTAAACCAACATGCAGCGGTGATGTCATTTAGCATGTGTCCCATGCCATAATAAAGAACAGACAATCTTCCGAGGGGCTTGGTAAATGAATCATCATCTTCAACACTATTATCCATTATGATAGGTGGGGTCATGTTGGAAACACTTTAAAACACGCCAGAAGCACTTTTATCTTATCAACAATAACCTGCAAAAGTATGGATTGAAGCTTAGAGAGCTAAAGATGGATACCACCTAAACAATGGCATTAGAAACAACTCTCAACAAGTAGCTTCCTTACGTAATGAACAGGGTTCAGTTGCACTGATTTGTTTAAACAAGTGAATTAATTTGGTTCTTGCAAACCTCAGATCAAACAGAAATTTGATAAGAAATAAAGGAAAACCTGAAAATTGCATTCCTTTTGGTCACATCTAAAAACCAGTGTGTGTGCCGGCATTAAATCCCATATGAGAAGAGTACATGTAAAGGACTTCAAAACAAGGAGTTAGTTGGTGACCATGAACATAAAAAACATGAGCCAAAAATCATCTTCAGATCAAAAGTTTAACGCAATTGGCTTCAATTGCAAAGCAGCAGCAATTGTGGGATTAAGTTCACCTTTGAGCTTCAGTTGCTAAGGAGTTTCAAGACTTTTCTATTTTGCTTTATTTATTTTTCTTGGGAAGGAATTTTTGGTTGATTTTGCATGGTTTCTGGACATTTTATTCAGGGGAAGTGCGATTACTGAGTGAAGTTTGTATAGAATTGCAGAAAATGGCATGATTAGCAGAACAATTTTTAGACTGCATAAAACCCAGGATGATATGCAGAGATCAAATAGATAAACCCTAATAACCTTAACAAAAACTTAATCAAAACTGGTTTTGATAAAATGAAAAATAATGTCACGTCATATGCTTTCAGTATACTTGATTTCCCGTCAATTATACTTGCCCGTCTATGAATTGCAATAAGAAAAACCCCTAAAAGTTGTATTGGAACAAAATTGCGTCTCATAGGTTAGTGAATTATAATTATATTGATGTTTTATGTATGTATAAAGCGAGCAAAGGAGAAAACGAGAGACACAACACTAAAAAGGGAAAAAAGGAATCCGGCATAGAAATTCATTTAATCAATTAAAGAAAGGAGAGACAGAGATACAGAGACATACTCGTAGAAGAAGAGGCAGAAACTCCAACTTGTTAGCAGAAGAGATGATTGGTTAATTTTGTTGTTAACAAGAAATGTCAAACTCGAAACTCTTAATAGGTGACATGCCTACGTATATCATTGAGTGGATGTGAATGGTTGAATAGTTGGTGTGGTTTTGAATTGTTATTTAGGCGGTTGTTTTTGTCGTTTTTGGTGTAATATGGAATGCTGAAGATTATGTTGCTGGAATCAAGCATTGACAAAATTACTGCAGATATTATGCTACTGATTTATTTGCTGTAATATTATTAATCATTTTATATTGATTGGATTGACTGTATTTCCTTTATTATTTACATAGCCTCTATATAAATAGGCATCTGTACACATTACAAAGAATATATGAAATACACACATTCTTTTCTTTCTTCCTCTCGGCATTCTTCAGCAACATAGTTGCTTCTATTGCCATCCTTTATTTTTCTTGGCATTCTTCGGCAATACAATTGCCTCTTTTGCCACCTCCCTCCTGCTCAAATTATTACAGTTTTCTGTTCCAGTTTTAATTATGTAGTTATTTGACGGACTTGGAAATGGATAAGATAATATTGTGATGTGGAAACAGACACAGAAGTTATGGCAATATGGCTGTATGGGTTTGCATTGTTTGTCCCTTTTCAATCACTAACTAGTCACTACATTCACATATCTCCTATTCCTATGACCAACTACTTCCGGTTCCACACTTCTTAAAGCTAAGAATATCTGTTATCTTCAAACATTTAAGATTATGGAGAATTTAAGACCAATGTTGGACTCGATGTACCACATCCCAGTCCATGTTATTCATAAGGGCCACGTTTTAGAACAAGGAATTTCTCGTTTTCTGATTATACAATTGCCACAATAGAATATTTGATTAGTTCTTGCCACTGCTAGGGAATCAGCTACTACTGTAATAACACACAATACTCAACAGTTTCATTCTCTCTTCTAGTTAAACTATTATCATGTTGCCCAATATAAAGAGACTAGAACCAAGAACCAGTAGCCTTGTTAACAAATAATGAAATGTGATATGATCTAGGTTTTAGAATTCATCAAAGGATCCTACCATTTTTACGCAGTAGTATTATCCCATCCCAGTACGTTAAACATCACATACATAGAAAGCATTAATATACCCTTGTTTTTTTGGGTTTTAAATATTAATTGTTTGGCATAGATCAATATTAATTGTAAACTATTAAATATTAATAATAAGTCTAGTAATAAATAATTACTTCTTTAAAACCCTAGAAGAGTTTCAGCCACTAACACTTTTCTATTTTTCATTTAATCATCTTTTTGGGAAAGGTTTAAATAAAATATAATTCTTTTCTATCTTTAGTGAATTGTTGCAGGCTCCAAAATTTACTGCAAATGGCTGTCCAAACAGTAGCCCTCTGTTCCCACTCTCCTTCAACTTCAAGTCGCAGGTCCTATTTCATTTAACTTAACAGTTTCCAGCTTTAATGTGACTTGGTCTGTGGGTATATAGCATTCTGTAGTAGATGGTTTCATGGTTAATTAGTTTTTGACTGGCATATAATTCTTTTCTCTTATTTGCTTATCATGATTATCTTTCTCTTATTTGCTTATCATGATTATCTGAAAACCAATCTCACTTCAACGATACTGTTTCATGTGTATTGACAAGCATTAATCTCTCAGTTGCATTATTAATATTTTATGTAGGTTCATAACTCTTTCCTTCAACAATTGTAAAGGTACTAGAATTAAATTAGTAAACAAAAAACACAGTAGTAACTAAACAGTCAACTCCAGGCCCAAGAAATACAAATCCATCCCCAATTACCACTTATCACATGTATGAAGTGATGAAATAAAACAGTAAGACACCTCCAGAAACAATCTCCAATCCCACCCATCTCTTTCTACTGCAACATCCATCACTGGTCCCCTTGCTGCTGCTGCTTGCACTGATGGAGTTCCCTGACCCTCCAGCTGAGATATCAACATGATTATTAATTACTTTGATATTATTAATGAAAAATATACCAATTAAATTTGAACTTCACCAAATAATTAATTACCGGTAGAGCTTGGAGTTGGAGCGGGGCTACTTGCACCGTGATTACCAAATTGGTAAAAAACTTGAGCTTCAGGGGAATTAGGATCCAAGTGTAGAAGGGCTGATGTTACCAAGAAATAATATATATGGTGAGTAAAATATCGAGGTAGCTTTCTTTTTATTTCAAAACAAACACAAATTAATGAAAAAGAAACTTAGTATATACAAACCAGGACATTGAGAAACGTTAGCAGGTGCATGGCAAACAGAAGGAAGACCTAAAGCAAGTGTAACATTGATGTTGAGACCAAGTTCTGGATCATCTTTGTCTCTAATAATCACGCACAAGCACTTCTTGTCATCCTTGAGGACTTGTTTCAGACCACTGCAACAATCAGGTGTTGGAGATTTTGCTTGACCTCCAACATAAGGCAAACATGTAGCAAGCCCTGTCAACTCATTTGTGCACTCCTCTCTGTCTTTTGCTTTATCTGCTATTGCACAACTTATTACCATCCACACTAAAACTAAGTAATGAAACCCCATTGCCATTGCAGAGAGAAATTACATTAAAGGTTAAGCCCAATTTATCCGTAGGATGGGAGCTCAGATTAGTAGGTATAGTGGAGACGGGGACCCAATAACAATACAAATGTTTTTTGTTCCTTCCTTTTATGATTACAGTGACACCGCATACTACTTTTTTGATAGTTTTCCAATTTGAACTGAGGGACTAGATCGAGTAAGCAACATGTGGAAGGCACTAGTGGTAGTAAACACAGCCCAAGGCATGCATTCCGATTATAATTCTATGATCATATGCTGCTAGTTTTCTACACATGTGGCCGAAAACTCCTCAACCCCTGTCTCTCCATGTACCTTAACCCAGCATACCTACATATATAGATAAGCATTGAGAAAATGTCTTGAATTCATACTTACAGTTATGTTGGCCCTGGCTATCAATACATACTTATTGTGAGTAAGGAGTGGTAGTGATGATGCAGTACTTGTAATTTATTACTTGTTCAACTCAAAACTTAATTTTGATTAAAATTATTAATTGTAAGTCAATATATATAGAAAGCACAAGAAACAGATAGTAAAGTGGAGGTGGAGCTGAAAGTGCGTCACTTCACCAACCCACTAAACTAAGGCAAGAAACAATCGTTATCAAGAGCATGGACTTCCAGGTTAGTGAAGTGACATCATTCAGTATTTTAATGATCTCATTCTAAATACTTATGGCGTAGAAAATCAAGGATGTCAGAGAATCAGTAATTGGGACAACCAATACTGGCATTTTGAAAAAGGAAAACTCTAATTTGGAACTCTAGATCTTGAGAGAATTATCCCACAAGTGAAGACTGTTATGCCCGGGAAAATAAAGGGCTGACATGGGAAAGTCACGTTAAGGGTGACCTGCTCCCGTCAGGGCAACACGCACACGTCAGACCTGCAAAATAGTATGGAGCTCACACGCGTCCATTCCTCTGCAGCAAGTCGTGTGAAGTCAGCTTGGAAAAAGGAAAATGGGACGTAAAGCCGGATTATATCCTGACAATTACACCAACCCATGGATTTAATGATGATTACACGCTTCAATTTGATATAAAATGAAGAAGACCCCTCCATTAAGGGGATTCGGCCATTTTTTACATAGACTCTCTCTCTCTGGTAAAAGACACTTACTTTTCATAACTCTTATGTACGTCAGTCCGCTTCGCGACCTGACTCACACTAATATCAATACAAATCAGTGGACGTAGGACTTGCTACCTTAGCATCCGAACCACTTTAAAAGTCTTCTTTGCATTTATTTCACTTGATATATCCATTGTCGCGCGTGTTAATACTTCAAATAGTGATACCCACGTGACAATTGGTTGGTGCCGAAAACGAGCATCAACAAAGACCAATATTAGCCAGTTTATCAGCTTCTTCATGGAAAATACCAGAGGGGGGAGCTTAAATTTTAAACCTATAAATAATTCAACCATCTTCCTTAGTCTTAGAGAGAGCTAGCAAAGAGGAGAAGAGAAGACAACATGAAGCTAAGGGACACCGTGCAGTTGAAGTTGATCATCAATGGCCATTCCAATGTTAAATGATTCTCCAGAGCAAAATGGAAAAAATGAGAGTTGCCAATGAAGCATTAACATTGGAAACACACAGTTTGAGGAGGGGAGGCTATCCAATAAATTAGTGGGATTAATAAGAGGCGTTTTGATACCATTAATTATAGTGGGTTAATGGTTTTGTAGTTGACCCTGAGTTGGGAAATCAAGGCCTACAAGAAGCCCAATTAGGCAGGGGCGGAAGGTTGAGAGCCCAGGTAGCCCTCTTGGAAAATCTTCAAATTGTAGTATAATATAATATTATTATTATTATGCATGGCCACCAACAACTCCAATATGTAATTAATTCTACCTGCTACATATGTTGTGGTTGTCAATATAGCTACAATTTTCTCAAATCATCTTTATATTAATTTTTAATTAACTGAATTCCTTTAGATTTATTGAAAAAGCCTTCTCCTTAACCCTAACTTTTGGGTAGGCATCCAAAAGCACCACCATCCTATATATTAATTATTATGTGCATGCATGAGCATGACTTTACAAAGTAATTAGCAAAGCAAACCCATTCATATAATTCTACTTAGCTTATCAAAACCATCCATGCTTCAGGATCAGGGATTGCTTAACTGCTAATCAAACCCTCTCACATCATGTATATAATTAAATTATTATAAATGTCTATAAAGTGGATAACACCTCGACATTAATTAAACAAGGACCAAATTTAACCTTGGGTCACCTCAATATCTGAGTCATGGTCGGTGGTACGTGGCAGCTTTTCATTAGTGAACTTCTAAGAAGATGAATCTCAACCATGTAAAACTCCCACCTGCCCTGCTGGATATTGTCAAAAGCAAGAATCTCAACATATTATTATTTGTTCACACGACTCTCCATATATAAAGCTATCCGCTCTTCATTATTTTCTCAACCATTAACGTCCTAACCCAGTCAAAGAGAGTAAAGACTAGCATTCCAGGCATGGCTCTACCTCTACACTTTTGTTTCTTCTTTTTGACACTGATGATGTTCATTGGGTTTTCATGGTACATAAACTACGAGCCAGTGATGGAGAGCATATTTGATCAAGTGAAGCTATATCTCATAATTTCTCCTTTGGTGATCCTACTAGCAGTCCACTGGCTCTCTAACTATGAAACAAGGTTTTCACACTTGATTCCAATGCCAGAAAGAGACTCTTTACATAGAGCTGGAGGGACTCCTTGGGGCGTTGGATTTGTGCTTGTTCTTCTGTTTTTCATGATATCATACCACTCTCAATTCCAGGAACGTTGGTTTCCACTTTTAAGCAGATAATTTATTATATATATCTGGATCCATGTAATTTAAGTAACTGAGTTCCTCCTATAATTTTTGGTTTTCTTTTTGCCTATGTATAAATTGTTGCTTTATATTTAAGGAGAAATATGGTCGACTAGCTTTCGGATAGTGCAGAGTAATCTTTTTAATTTCTTATGTATAAAATAGTTGATTATCCTCTTTTCTTAGTTTTGTACTGAAAAATCCTTTAATTATATGTTTCTTATTGGTTTTGTTGATAAAAGTGCCCACTAAGAATTAAATTGAGTCCAGAGTTTTGGAATTCAAGATTTGAACAGTCCAGTGTCGTCTCTAATTTGAGTATCATCAAGGCCAGGGCCGGCCCAAGGGCTAGGNAGCTTTCGGATAGTGCAGAGTAATCTTTTTAATTTCTTATGTATAAAATAGTTGATTATCCTCTTTTCTTAGTTTTGTACTGAAAAATCCTTTAATTATATGTTTCTTATTGGTTTTGTTGATAAAAGTGCCCACTAAGAATTAATTTGAGTCCAGAGTTTTGGAATTCAAGATTTGAACAGTCCAGTGTCGTCTCTAATTTGAGTATCATCAAGGCCAGGGCCGGCCCAAGGGCTTGGCAGGTGAGACACTGTCGAGGGCCCCCCAAAAAAAAAAAAAGCCTAGAAAGGAGTCCAAGATTATTTTGAGATTTTTTTAAATAGATTTACATAAATACCAGTAGGCTTAAAAAAGTTTATAATTTTTTATCCAAATCGGTCCAAAGGGCCCCAAAACGCTCAAATTCATTATAATTTTTTTACATAAATTTACAAAAAAAGCCATGTTTCATATTTTCCATTCACACCTCTAAATTAACTAAAATAGTTATTCAAATAACTAAAATAGTTATTCAAATGTCTAAAATTTCAAAACACCCCTTCAATCTCTAAAATGATGAAAACATTGCATCTCCACCCCTCTACACCGCTATAGTGCCGCTGTCAGCGTTAAAGTGATGATTTCGATCAATTTTCTCACCAAAATCAATCAGATTCATCACTTAATCATTTCTCAAACGTTTTCCCAGCCTTGATAATCCCCAATTTGGCTGATTTTTACAACCCATTTTCATTCTTCACCGCGTGCGACAACCATTTCTGACACGTATTCATTGTCGTTGACCTTTCCCGACACCACTATCTTCGTCCCCTCAGCCCCCTCCCTAAAACCCCTCACTTACCTAACCCTTGTAGCTCGCTTGTCATTGTCCACCTCACACCCTCACAAGAAAGATTAGGTAATTTGGATATATTTTCAATTGAAAAAGATTTAGTTTCTAAACTTGAATATAAAATTTAATTAGTGATTTTGCATCTTAAAAAACAAGAAAAATAAATTTGAAATAATTTTTTAATATAGGCTTATATTATTAAAAGAGTTCTAAAGTAACTCTTGTCTAAGATCACAAATATTCTTGAGACGATCCTGATCAAGGCTACGTTTCTTTTCTTATAACTAATTTCATCCATGCTAAAATCATAATGGTGAATGTTAACTTATGCGTTCACTTGGAATGTAGAAAATGTTAAGAAATGGAAGGAGATGCAAACAAATTTTTAGTCTAATCCTTTGATAATTTCAATCCAACTAATATGCTGATCAACTTCCAGTCGTTGTGCATTTCTACTTCCAATTCAACATGAAATAATTTATCAGAGTTGAAGTGTCTAATCTATAGTTAATGCCCGTTGAGACTGTGGGCTTTGAGGGAAAAATGGGTTATGGTTTAACCCATTCTAATGAGCACAGGAAGAGGAAGCATTATGTTTGAGAATATAAATCCATAGGTTAACTCCAAGTGTTAAGTTATTGAAGTTATATAATAAGTTCAATAAGACATGAAGATTCACATAGTGATTATTGAAATTTGAAAGAAACGAAAAACAAGATCTTGATATCATTATTAGAGGATTATCACGGCTTGTTGTAACAGACAATGACTTGTTCAATATCAGATCTCGTTCAACCTTGTTGTTCCTTAGGTTTAGAAATTAGTTTCCAACCGCACTATATTGTAGGATCTCAACCAAGAGTTCTTATCTCAGTTTTGTATTTAACTGTTGTTAATGTAAATGGAAAATATACTTCTCAGCATTCATTTGATAATCGTCTCCCTCCGCCTGGTCCCTCTAAAGAGTAAAGCATCTTTGGTGGCTTTCTTTTTTAATCTCTCTGCAACATGAAAAGGAGAAGCTTAAGCAGTTAAAGTAGAATCGATTCTCCTTCTGCTACCTGCTTTTTTTTTAATTTTATCCATTTATTTATAAGAATTATGTCGAAACTAACTTATCCCACAAGACTCCTGTCGAAACCCATGCTTGCATTTCATTTGACTGACAGTTGAAATATTTAACGTTGCTTCTGTATAATCAATTTTGCTAATTAACAAATATTTATTACTACTACGTTAATTGATCAGCTGCATGGAAAGCTCAAGCTAACCCTTCATCTGTACTGATCCATTTTTGACATTCTACACAAATGGATTTATTCCTTATTCTTGTAGTAGACGGAATGAATATATTCATGAACTTTCTCCCAAACTCTACATTTATGCCTGCCTTCATTAATTATATCATATACCTTATGCTTCGTGCCTTTTCATGTCAACCACAAACCAAAAACTATTTTCTTTCTCTTCACTTTAGTTTCTTCTTTTTCTTTTCCTTTTCATCAAATTTCAACCATTTTTGCTCGCTAAAAACTACGAAAAAGCTAGGGTTATCCACCACAGCCACGCACCACCAGATCATTTTCATCTTTCTCAACCCCCACACCAAGCTTACCACCGCTTTTTTCATCAAAAGAATTCAATTTAGAGGAATATATTTTTCGTAAAAGATCAAATTGTAAATGAAACTTTGTTTTAAAAGCAACACTTCCCTCCTGTAAAGTTGAGAAAATTAATTGCGAGGATATATATATGCATCGAATATTATCATCTCCAACGTCCATCCACCCATCAGGCCATCGCTATTCAGTATCATACATATATATCTTATATATATGAAGAGTATAGAAGGTTAAAGAAAGGAAAAGAGCATAAATATATATAATAATAATAAAATTAGGGAAATATAAATAAGAGATGAAATGTTGAGTCGATGGAAAGTGTGTATTAGTAGGGCAAATCAATTAATATGATTAATGAGATGATATTTATAATTTACACAGAAGATGATGATGTGATGATGAGTATAATTATGGAGAAGAACATTCTCTGTCGACCTTGAAAACCTCAATTTCAATTTAGAATAGGAAAAAGATAAAGCAAAAGAAACAAAAGCAAATTTAGGGTCATTACATAAAAGCAAAAGCCATGGGTGTCTCGTGTGGTTGCTTATGTGGATGCATGCGCGCCCATTCTTTAATTTCGCCACCTCCACCTCCATCTCCTTTTCTACTAGATCATCAGCGCCTAACCATGATTTCACATTATATTGCATTCTAAAATCTAACATACAAATATATATGTTATATTTCTCTTGTAATTCTCATTTATGTGTGTATATATATATATAGTTCAAAGTTCCACATTCACTAATTACCTTGAAAATTAATATATCTCTCAGTCTAAGCTAGCGTATATATGTATGTATATTAAGCTCATATATATGTGCTTTCCACGCTATAGAATATATAATTGGGTGTGGATTTATTTTACTTTGAAAGTGGAGAGTATATAACAGCAACTATACGAACAGACAAAAGACGAAAAGCAAAAGAGGACTAGTCATCTTCATCTACTTTACCTTTATCTTTTTTCAGTCTTTAATTTGCTACACCAAACCACACTACTTCACTTTGTCATCTTATTATATATCTTCTTAATTTCTCCATTTCTCCCTTATATAACTCAATACATAGACAAAGACAAATTCACAATTCACTTCCATCATCATCAAATGGAGATATTATCTCAATTGTGGTCATTCTTGGGTCTTCTCACTGTCCTCCAAAACATTTTACCTTCACAACTTCTTTCTCTTCTCAACTCCTTCTATGAATCTCTCCAAGATCTCTTTACTCCCTACTCCTACTTTGAGATCCCCGAGTTCAATGGCTACTGTGGTGTCGACGTCAATGATCTCTACCGCCACGTCAACCTCTACCTCAACTCCCTCAACTCAGCTTCTCAGTGTCGCCGCCTCACTCTTTCTCGCTCTAAATCCTCCAAAAACATTTCTTTCACCGTTGCGCCCAATCACACTGTTCATGACTCTTTCAATGGCCATACTCTCTCCTGGACTCACCATGTCGACACTGTCCAAGACTCCTTAGAAGAAAAACGTAGCTTCACTCTCAAACTACCAAAGCGACATCGCCAAACCCTTTTATCTCCCTATCTTCATCACGTTACTTCACGTGCTGAAGACTTTGAGCGTGTCTCTCGTGAGAGAAGACTCTTTACTAACAATGGCCATGCCTCCTACGAGTCAGGGTGGGTTTCTGTTCCATTTCGTCACCCTTCTACTTTCCAAACCTTAGCACTTGAACCTGAACTCAAGAAGCAGATAATGGACGATTTAACCGCGTTTTCTAATGGAAAAGAGTTTTACCACAGAGTTGGACGCCCTTGGAAACGTGGTTATTTGCTTTATGGGGTGCCAGGATCCGGAAAATCAAGTTTAATTGCTGCCATGGCTAACTACCTTTGCTATGACGTATATGATCTTGAGCTCACCAAAGTTACAGACAATTCAGAGCTGAGAGCATTGCTTATACAAACTACAAACCGTTCAATCATTGTAATCGAAGATATAGACTGCTCGGTTGATCTAACAGCGGACAGAATGTCGAAGAAAAGATCACATTCACACCCGTCAAAAAAGCACACGGAGTCGCGATATGACGATGGAGAAAAGAATGGAAGGGTTACACTTTCAGGGTTGTTAAATTTCACTGATGGTCTATGGTCATGCTGTGGAGAAGAGAAGATAATAGTATTCACCACAAATCATAGAGAGAATGTGGATCCGGCGCTAGTTAGATGGGGGAGAATGGACATGCATGTAAGCCTTGGGACATGCGGGGTGCATGCGTTCAAGGTGCTAGCCAAGAACTATCTTGGAGTGGATTGTCATGGATTGTTTGATGTGGTGGAGAGTTTCATAAGGTCGGGTGGAGCCCTGACACCAGCTCAGATTGGGGAGATTTTATTGAGAAACAGAGGTGATGTTGACATGGCAATGAAGGAGGTAGTAACAGCAATGCAAACTAAGATTTTAGGAGGAGGTGGGACTCAGCGAGAGGTCATAGATTGTGATGATATGATGGTAGTAAGATCTCCAGAGAGTGTGTTGGTAGTAGGATCGCCGGAGAATTGGGATTCGTCGCCAGGAAAGAATGGAGGGAAGAAGAGGTCAAACTCAAAAGTTAATTTCTTAGTAAGGTTAAGATCTTTGACCAAATCCGATTCTGGCAGGAGGGGTGTATGACATATAATTACGTTTATTTGGTAGTGAGAAATTTTGGGTGTTTAATTAGTTGGTAAACCTTTTTGTGTGTGGGGCGTAAGTTTTCAGATTTATAATGTAACATTAGCAAGAAATTAATTACTAATCTTTTAGTTTTGATTCTATGGTATGTTTGAAATTTGAGAGGAAGGGTTAAAGAGAAAGAAAGTTGTCAAATTCCATCATAATCACAAAGAAAAGAAATTGAATATATGCCTGCCACTTTACCACAAAGTCTGTTTTAAGATAAAATTAAAGCAAATAATGGAAGCCGACCAATATCGCTAAGATTCAGAAAAAGAAACAAGGTATATATAGAGACTAGAGAGAGAGCTTTAATCATTAATTTATATCACTCTGTAACAATTAATTTAATTTACTCAACAAAGCTATATTTTGGCCTTAAGCTACATGCATTTACGACATCCTTGTCTTTGTGATTGCGTTCATGAGTTCAAGCTATGAAGTGGAATAACCTGATGAATTAAGCTCATCTCAAATCCGGATATCAGCAGGTTCTTTGAACAAATACCATTGAAGCTGGTTGGCACGTATCATTGCACCATTGTTTTTCTTCTACTTTTTGTCGAGAAATTGAGTTTTTATACTATACCAATTTCTTAATTTCTCTTATCATTCTGAAATATAGGTCTACCCAATTTTATATGGGGATAACTGCACTTGATTTTTCATTTATTGGACAGTAAGTCTCCTTATTTACCCTTTTTGTTTTTATTATATTTGCTTAATCTAATAAATTGAATAAATGCAAATCCATCTTCTTTATTCTTCAAAACATAAAAAAACAACACGTGAGGAGTGAGGACATGATGACACGAAGACCGGGTAAAAGCAAAGCCAAAGCCTCAAATGTACGCTTTCTCTTATCTTGCTGCCACTTGCGTAATAATAATATCATATTTATCTTCCTTAAAGCTACACAAAAAACAAACTAATCCAGTATCAGAGAGAGCGAGAGAAAGATTGGAAGAATGGGTGTGGTGATAATTGACGGATCAACAGTGAGGGCTTTTGTGAGTGACGATGAGCAATTCAAGAAGAGTGTTGATGAGGCATTTGCAAGTTTAGATCTCAACAACGATGGGGTTTTATCACGCTCTGAACTACGCAAGGCTTTTGAATCTATGCGCCTCATCGAGACCCACTTCGGCGTCGATGTGGCCACTCCTCCTGAACAACTGACACAACTTTATGATTCCATTTTTGACAAGTTTGATTTGGATAGCAGTGGAAGTGTTGATGTTGCAGAGTTCAGGTCTGAGATGAAAAAGATTTTGCTTGCTATTGCTGATGGCTTAGGATCTTGCCCTATTCAGATGGCTCTTGAGGATGGTGACCAGAATTTTCTCAAGAAAGCTGCTGATCTTGAGGCTTCCAAGATTGCTAATGCTGAAGCTTCTTCTTAATTGTATCGTGTTTATGTCCTCTTGCTATGCCAAGCTTTAATTTCAAATAAGAGAAAAGTTCCCTTTTTTTGAAATTTTATGTTTGATTGCCAAACAACTTCACAAAAATGCTCATCCTATTTATAACAAGAAGCGCATACCACACCCGCAATAAAACACAAAAAGCCATGACATTAGAACTGTCGTCATACACCAAATTTAAGCAACATGTCTGGGATCTAAAATTATTGAACAATTCACCTATTTCAAACTACCTAATCATCATCCTCATCACTGCTGGAACTGGAGCTATCATCTTCAATTTTACTTTTCAAATTGCCTAACTTCCCTACGCAAAATTATAAAAACAAACGATTATGCACTGAATACTAAAAATCAGAATTTTACAACCAAAAAAGTCCAACTTACTTGTTCTGTCAGAAGCCTCCACCCAATCTTGAAGGCAAACCAAGGCTCTTATTGTCTTTGGTTTTAGTGAGCTTTGATACGGAATTATTACTCGACCACCCATACTAAATGCACTCCCAGAATCAATTGTGGAGACCGGAATGGTCAAAATGTCTCGTGCCATTCTTGATAGCTCTGGGTATCTCATTGAGCATGAACTCCAGTACTCTTAAGACATCTACTTCACTATTTAGATCATAGCTTTGTTGTTCTAAATAAAGATCTAGCTGAGATTTCTCCTCCTGTGTCTGAAATCTTGTACTTTGAAAAGTTTTATAATCTTCAAACTCATCTTTAACATCGGAGATATTAGTGGCAACAACAGATATCCCGGTAGCACAAGAAGAGCAGACAGAATTTTGCATGTATTCATCAAACAAACTGTAAAGAGTGCCAACAATTTTCCCAACATATCGTTGTGCATCAATGCCATAAAGTTTGGTATAACAGTACTCAATAAACTTAACCTTGTATCGTGGATCCAAGATTGCAGCACATGACAAGATCAAGTTATACTCTGACCAGTATTTGCTAAATTCTAACTGCATCTCCTTGACCATACCAGTCATAAAATTTTCTGGGCCTCTTATTGCATCCAGCAAGAAATTATGAATCTTCCAGACACCCTTGAAATATACATTAGAGGTCGGAAATCTTGTTTCAGTAAACATATTTGTTACCTCATAAAAGACATTCAAGAATTTGCACAAGAGATTCACTTTTTCCCACTCATCTTCTGATAGGTTCTACATGAAGCTTTTATCCCATTCCCCTATATATATAAATGCATTCTTATAATGAGCAGCAACTTCTAGCATGTGATATACAGTATTCCACTGGGTAGGACAATCAAGGCACAACTTTTTCCTGATATCCAAATTCAAATTTTTAGCAATTATATAAAAATTCTTCTTCCTATAGGGGATTGCTTCACATACTTAACAGCAAGACGAAGTTTTCCAATGATGACACTAATGAGATCAAAACCAGTTTGCACAATTACATTCATAACGTGAGCACAACAACCCACATGAGAAAATGCACCATTACAAGGAAGGTTCTTCTTTGCATCAAGACGAGACCTCAGCATGAGAGCAACCTGATCAGTGGTTGACAAATTGTCCCATGCAATGCAAAAAACTTTATGTTCAATATCCCATTGAACCATACACAAAGCTATCTCATCTCCTGTGGATAAACTATCATATGAAGGCGGTATAAGTTTGAACCACAGAATCCTCTTCTATAATCTCCACTCATGGTCGATAAAGTGAGCAGTGACACAACTATAACAATCATCTGAAATAGATTTCCATGTAGCAGATGTCAAACAAATTCGACCTGGACATGTTGTCAACGGCTCCCGGACTTTCTCTCTCTCTTTCATATAAATTGATATGATCTCCTTTTTAATGGTCTGCCTACTCATCATCTCAAACTTGGGACATGCAACAGCCATTACACGTTTGAAACCCATATCCGCAACCAATCTGAATTTTGCTTATCAATAACAATCATCATTGCAATTGCTTTACGCATCTCACCTAAATCATATTCATGATTCCCCGAGGATGTAGATGCATCAATCAATGTGCCATGTGAAGTTGTATATTTTACATTACTATTATCACGTTTAGGGCATGAACTCATGTGACGCAATAAATGAGAAGTACCATTATTAGATTTAGCAGAAAAAACTTTCCGACAATATGTACACATAGCCTTTGAATCTTCATCATGCTCTGCTGGGATCTTCAGAAAGACATCCCACAACTTTGAAATTGTTTTGCGATGCTTAGAGGAACTCTCATATTCTTTGTTCTCCATAATTACAGGTACTTCACTTAGCAGTGACGTATTATTTAAGATATCTGAAAATTAAATGATTTACAAAAGAACATCACCAGCACACAATTTAGGAAACTAAGAAATTACATTTTATATCCAAAGTAAACTTTAGTTCCCAAGAACATATGCTAATGTGTATCACTTTTGATTAACTTTATACAAACAAAAATGAAACAGAGCAGAAAATTTACAGATATGAAGAACACATTAGTGTGTATCATAGACAGGAAGTTTGACATGAAAAATTGGTGAAGCATTGGTACATGTTTTGTAAGTTTAACATGATCTAATGCATTTAAACATGCTTTGCCAAATTAACAATGCAAATGAAGACATAACAGTAGAGGTAGTTGCCATCCATTTGCTATGTATAACAAAAGCAAAAACGTTTGAAATTATTGTAGATATTCAAATGCATAAGCAATATAGAAAACAAAAGATAAATCTTAGAATCAGTGTTCCTAATACCAATAGTGGCCACAAAACACTGCTGACAATACTATTAGGAAAGCTGGCCTTTTAAGACCTTAACTATGAAAAAGCTACAAGATTTACTCAACCAAAAATACAGGAAGGCAATAACAATAAAGCAATATTTCATTGAAAACAATATACGACAGTAAGAACTCAGAAAGTAATAATCTAGGATAGTAATAAACCTATAGGTATCATCTTATCTCAATAAAATTGTTAATAAATTCTTCCCCATAAGCAACAGGAAAGGAAATTTCAGGAAGGATTAACAATAAAAAGTAAAAACTCACCTGGATCAACCTTCTGCTGAAAATGATCTATTTGTTATCGGTGTTAAGAGAGAGTGGGAGAGCCTTACTGTGAGTCCGAGCAGTAGAGGAAGGTGAATAAAAAAAAAAATCAAATGGTAAAAATGAAGCGTCGCCTGAGAGATTCGAACTCTCGCGGGGAAACCCCATGTACTTAGCAGGCACACACTCGGCCAAAGCGACAGTTCGATGTTAGCTTTCGATACTTTATAAATAAAATATAATTGTTTAATGTTTTTTTGACACAACTGACAAATGACAATGGACACCACCAAACGAAGCAAAACAAAAAATCAAAAGATATAACAAACCCAACCCCCAACCCCACATGGCCATCCTCCATTCTTCAACAAGAGACTTGGCCATTCACTTACCATCTACCGAAATGTCATCTACCGCCTCCGCCTCCGCCTCCGCCACCGACAGACTCACTTGTTGGTGTCACCAATGTGATATGAGCGTCACCCTCCTTTTCTCCTCCACCTCCTCTTCTTCTCCTACTATCTCATTCCCCTGCCCCCACTGCCACTCCCTCTCTCTCGAACACATGGATTCCCCTCCAAATCTTATCTCTAATTCCCATTTCGACTTCCTTTTCGCCGATTACGATTTCGATTGTGATGATAGTAGCACTAGTGATACTGCATCCAATTCAGTGACCGATGCTTGGCACTCATCAATTACAAGTGTGGTAATATCAGATTGTTTGTCACAAGAGTTGTGTGTTATTTGTAAAGATGAGTTTTTTGTTGATTCAGAAGCCAAACAACTCCCTTGCAAACACCTTTACCATTCTCATTGCATCCTCCCTTGGCTTTCCCACCATTCCTCCTGCCCTCTTTGCAGATTCCAATTAATTCCAGGTCAGCTTCATTTTACTACATACTTGTTATATTTATTTATTTTTAAATGCTAAATTCAGCTTGTTAGAATCTGATTGCAGGCGATACATAAATCAAGTTTGAATCTGCATCGTATCATCATTCTGCTACTACAAATAAATTAAACAAGCTGTGATTGTGTTGTGAGTTGTTCTCTTCTCCACGATTAACAAGCTGGGATTTTGTAAGCTCAAATAAGAAAGTTTGTTCAACTCTAAAATGTTGCTATTTCATTGTATCTGTTTCCTCCAGTATTTCAGATTTACAACTGCTAACTCATGCCCATCTAATTTTCAGAAACCAAGTCCCTGTTCCATCTCGAAACCAACAGTTTTTTTGGCCCGAAATGGTGTTTGTCATTTGCATATAATAAAAGCAGGATGATAGATACGTGCTTGCTTTGTGATAAAAACCCATGTTTAAAATTAAATTAAATCAAGTAGCACAAACAGACACAGACAGGTGATGTGGCGCCACATCCTCCAATTAGATAAGAATATGAAACACCAAATTGTTTTGTTCAAGTAATCTTTAAAGGAAACTTTTTCTGCACGAATTAAACAAAAACAATTGTTCTTCAGATATAGAGCCAGAGCAGTAAGCATTCAATTTTAACCAACTTTCAGCAAACAACTCAAGTCAAAGTTGACCCAGTCCTCCATATGGAAACTTCTGTGAAGTCATTATCTAATTTATATACACGTAAACATAACGTGAATATCGTGGGAATTTCTGTCTGTGTTCCAAGTTTGAATCTGGATAGGCTTCATTTCCCAATCTCTATATAAGGATATACTTTCATGTGGTTTGTTAACACAAAATCGCATAATTTCTAATTGTCAGCAGAGACAACTCAGAGACTCATTCAATTTCAAGGTGAAGATGATGATAGTTGAAGGTGGGTTTGCGGAGATGTTGATTAAGGTGTTGATGTTCGCAATTGTTCAAGCTTTGGTTTATCTCATCCTTTCTAAATCATCAAACATCTTCTCCAAATCCAATTACAAGAGATCTCATAGTTTCAAACCAGCTCGCTCCGTTAGTATTCGAAGGATGCTTGCTGCTCTCCAAGACTTGCCTCCAGGTGGAGAGCCATCGCCTTCTTCAAAATCACCAAATCAAGATCATCCAACTGCGTCTTAATAATTAATTAGGAGGCAGCTGGGCATACACAAATATTAGGAGATTGGTGTGCTTGTTAATATGTATGTAAATTTTTAAGCGATATTTTTTGGTTGCTTGTAGGCAACGTGAAATTAGAGCATTCTTAATTGTAAGGTTTTATTTATTTATTTATACAGAGATTATAATATATTTGTTGAGTAATCAACAGCACATATGATTTGATTTGGATGCTAACTTCACAACAACGTGGGCACTTTAATTAATGGCCTTTTCAAGACTCCAACATATGATTTCACTTCTCACCTTCACCATTTCTCAAGTCCCATCACCACCCAATTGCCGGTTGCCCTACTTTTATTTATAGATGATATATATAACTGGACATTAATTAGCATGTATGAAGTATATATGAACATGAGATGGATCCATCGTTTCCAATCTGCTTTTACTACTTCCTTAAACCGAAAAGCCAACTTATGAATACATCTATGACTTCCCAATTCCTCTTATGGTTTAATTTTTTTCATAATGTTTTATTTGATTAGACGATCTTCTGATTCCAATATCTGACTCTTAACATTTTTTGAATATAAATAAAGAAGAAAGTAATAATATTTGTTGAGCATAAGGATAATTTGTGCAAGTTGAAACTTTTTAATTTGGTTAATAAGTTGTATAAATGCGAAACATGTACAATTTGGAGAAGAAGAATTTCCATGGATCTCGCAATGAATATGCCATACCACCATAACTTAAATTAATTAAACTTAAACTTGTAAAGTCAAACTGCAGCTCTTGCTGCTTATTTTTGGGCAAATGAAGTCAATTATCTTATAAGTACACTTGTAATTCATTATTGTACAATTTTATTGCAATGAGATAGATATACTTTTAATAACATTGGGTTAAATTTAAATCAATTCAGATAATCTCTATCATAGTATATAATAACCACAATATNGAAACATGTACAATTTGGAGAAGAAGAATTTCCATGGATCTCGCAATGAATATGTCAAACTTAAACTTGTAAAGTCAAACTGCAGCTCTTGCTGCTTATTTTTGGGCAAATGAAGTCAATTATCTTATAAGTACACTTGTAATTCATTATTGTACAATTTTATTGCAATGAGATAGATATACTTTTAATAACACTGGGTTATCATGATTCATGACAAGTTAAATTTAAATCAATTCAGATAATCTCTATCATAGTATATAATAACCACAATATGCAATAAATAAATTGCATCAAGGCATACAGCTAGGTTGCTTCATTTGACTCTTGTGAGAGAGTATGATTATCCAATTAATCTAACTTCCAAAGGACAGTTTCCTTTCATTATAATTTTTAATTCTACATCTCATCTATTTAACCCTCAATTATATATGCTTTTCTTCCTCATCTCAAGTCTCACCCCTTCTATTCCTTTCCACTTTATTAATGCCATGGAAGACCAAAACATGATGATACTCTCAACTCTGCATCCTTCATCCTCTTCTGATCAGCTCCCCATGCACAAAACTTCCCACAAATTCAAACCCAAGATTCGCATAATTCACATATTTGCACCACAAATCATAAAGACCGACGTAGCAAATTTCCGAGAGCTTGTGCAAAGACTCACTGGGAAACCTACAGGTGCAGAAAGAAAAGGAACAATATTGAAGAAGAAAACACAAAAACTTCCACTTAGCAGATCAAATTTCATTCATCATGCAAACAAAAGTACGTGGCCTGCAGCTAGTTTATTGCTTACTGAGTCTGGGGATCCTAATATTAAGGAAGAAGAAAATGAGAGCAGTTCAACTAATTTCTTCGATGGCTTTACAGATATCGATGGTTTTATTCAAGAGTTAATTAAGTGATCCATAGCTGAGAAATTAACTAAGATGGTCTTTGTCTTATCAAAGGCGGCTGGATGGCTTTCTTCTTCCTTGGATTTTCTTCTTTCATTGGCTAGGTATGTTATTGATGGTTTGGTTTGGTTTGTTTATTATAAATTTTGTATAAATGGTTGACTTTAATTAATTTTATGTCTCTTTGATGTAAAATACTGATGACGAGTCTATATGTATATGCTGACCGCTGAAACTTAAAGATAAATATATGTATTTTTCATTCTGCGAATTCAATGCTTCTACATTTGAGCTGAATCAATCTCAACCCATACTTATCTTCACACAAAGTTTTGATAAGAATGTTAGCATGAAGCAATTTTTCTCCCTCAGTCAAAAGTATAATGTTTCATACTTTGCTGGTTTAAACTACCAAAAACCACCCAGATTAATCGCCATGCTCTCGATCGTGTTATTATTGAAGTTTTGGTGTTCATATGGTTTTGTGACTATAAGCTTCCAGTGACTTATTAGGGTAGTCAAATTCATCTCAACTTGCATTATTATATTCAGAATTAACCAAAAACAACGTTCAACCCTCCCATACTTATGACTTATATTGTGTTTATCAGGAAGAAAGATAATTGCTTGATTTGTATGCTACAAAAAACGATATATATTTGTTTGGAGGTTTGTACAAAGAGTCTGTAAATAGACAAACATATGTTATCTTCAATGGAGCTTTGTTTTCTCTTGAAACAGAAGAAAAAAAAACTTAATCAATCAATTGTGCTGAGGTCAACTCTTTAACAAAGTCATCCACAACTCAACTCCCGAGGTCCACACCCGATGGTAAGCTTCATCAAAACACGCAGTCTTAATCCTCCACTGCACTGGGCTTATGTCATGTTGATTACACCACACATTAAATATAACGTCCATACCAACTCAGCTGCACTTAAAATAAAACACACCATGAACTATCAATTATCAAAACTTCATAGTTCCTCACTCGAAAATATTTATAAACTCTTTTCGACTGTAAATCCACGAACATTAGTTACATTCTCACTTGTAATACAACATCCACACATATGAAAGAAAGACATTAAAGATTCCTCTCTGGTCAACCATCTTGTCCCCTTCACAAGCTACTTGCATCTACATATAGCACCCAGGGCTTGTAACAGAATGAGAAGCTCATATTTAACATCCTTTATGCAGAGGATATTTAAATGAGAAAACAAACAGCTCAATCCCTGTTCCGTATCAAAAATTGAACTCCGTGCAACCTGAAAGGATAAATCAATTTTTAAACACCGTCCACACAAATTTCATTCCATGAAAGATTTAACTGTCACATATTTAATTTCAGACGTTATTAAAGGAAATAAATTACAAGATCTGCGATCACAAGATCACATTTGTATATGCTTTTGAATACATGCTGAAAACAGATTGAAAGACAGGTGTCATATAAAGACTCAAAAAGCAAGCCAAATATGCAGTTTTAGTACCAAAGTTCTTCAACAAGTGTCTGGTCATCAGTTGATGAAAACTACAAACTTTAATGAACAATCCCTTTGGATGGAGTGCGGACGCTGTGACTTGAGCAATGAACTTCTAACTCTTAAACTCAAGTCACATGAAAGTCCCTAAGAAAGAGTAAAAAAATATGCAACAAGAACTCTTACTTTAACCTTTTTCCTCTTCAACTTACACATAACTATGTAACACAAACTGAAAGAGACCTATCTCTAGAACCACAGTACATCAGAAAAACTCTTTTCTGTTATCGTCCCATCAGAGATCAATTGTCATGACCAAAAGCAACACCTATCCTTCCATTGATGTAAAAATACAGCTTTTATCTTTACATGGCATGGCTCAATGTTAATCTGAGAATCAGCATGTTCCTGTTGAGGAATTTATACCCCTGTACTTAATTTTGTCAAAGTCAAAACCACTAACAAGTCTCACTGAAAACACAGTAAATTGATGGAGAATCTGGAAATAAGTGTTTGTCTTATTTTCCATCCAACCATCGTCTATCATAATGATGCTCAATAAAAGTGGATGTTTCGCAGAATCCCCTCCAACTAATGATATTGGGAGGCATCAGCAGCATCAAAACCAGATAATTCTCTGTCGTGTCCAAGTAGCACAACAAAATCTGCTACAACCGCAGCCATGTAGTGATCTAGTGAGTTGATAAATTCATATGTAAACTATATCAAAAGCATGTCATACCTTGCTCCAATGAATATGTTTCCAAATTTTATAAGGGAGTGTTTCAGTGGAAACTAAAGAAGACAACTCATTCAGGCATGTGCATCAATCAACAACCCAAACAGCATTAGATCTGTTTATGACTAGTTCTTAGGTGGAGAAGGAGGAGACCCAAGAGTAAACCGGGCATGGTATTCCATTGAGGATTCTAGGAAGTGAAATTTGTGGAGAAGATCCCCTTAAACGATTCTATTAAGGCCACTGTATCATAATGTTATCATGTGGAAACCATCCTTGCATAAGCTTCTCTGTAATATATACATGCATCAGAAATCTAGAGAATTCTATTAAGGAATTTACCTTGTGTATTGACAATGAAGACACACCTTATCAAACCTCCCAAAATGTTTTTATTACGACAGAAATGAGAACAAACAGCTATAAGGGGTTCTTGGGAAGGGCATACCGAGCCTTAGCCACCGATATGTATCATAGGTCTATTGGCTGTCTTTGCAATATCAAACATCCCAGAATGTGAAGCTTTCTTCCTTTTGACCTGAAGCAGATCAGAAGTTAAAAGTTTAAAGACAATTGCACATATTGAAGCAGGAAATCTTGAAACCTGGAGCAAATTCTATCAGATTCAGACAATCAAGTAATGCTTTTATGCTTCATTATCAGGTCATATCACCCATTATGTTATAAATCAACACAACACTTTTGAACAAATTAAATCCAAACCTACAATATATGAATCAACAATACATAGTATGACTGATGAAATGAAGCTTTGACAGTTGTAACATATAGTGGGATGTGAGTGCAACACAAAGCCATGGAAAAACTTAAAAATTCATACCGCTGCCCCAATTATTTCCCTGAGCTCATCATCAGTCGCATTCTGTCGGAGGGGATCCCTTAAGCTAACCTATAAAGAAAAACCACTGGTAAGACAACAAAATCATGATAGACAACCGTGTAAGTCACAGGACAAAGCTAAACAATTTTTTAAGAGATCATATATAATTCACCTCTGAAGGACCAAAGAGGCATACTTTGAAGTTCCCATCAGCCAAAAGTCGCAATCTATTGCAACCAGCACAAAAATGCTCAGTCATGGATGTGATGAAAGAGACAGTACCACAATGCCCATCAATCTTGAAATTCTTGGCTGTTTCCGTTGGGTGATCTTGTATTCTCTTAAGTCCAGGAAACTTTTTTACCTGTTATTTTAAGATAATTTACTCAAGGAATGCACAAGGGAACATTCAGAAATCTACAAGCAGGATCACCTGTCAGAGTTCTACCTTACCACTGTATCCAACATCTCCGAGTATGATACAAGCTTCTTGACATTCCAAACATTTCCATCAAAAGGCATGAACTCAATGAAACGAACGTTAATTGGTTTATCGCGTGTCAGCTCTACGAAATCACACATCTCATCATCATTAAACCCACGCATCACTACACAATTCACCTACAGAGAAGGCAGAACATACAGAAAGGAAAGCTTTTAATTTTGTCCAACAGAAAGCCTTGGATAAGAACCAATTTTAGACAAGCACAAACTTAAAAAGAAATACATACTTTGACGGGATTGTAGCCCACGTCTATAGCAGTATTAATGGACTCAAGAACCCTTTGATGGCCTTTGCGCCTGGTCAAAAATTCGAATTTTGCAGGGACTAATGTGTCTAAGCTAATATTTAAATGAGTAAGGCCACACTCTTTTAGCTTAGGAAGTTTTCTAGCAAGGGTGAGTCCATTAGTAGTCATGGAAAGTGTCTTAAGACCTTTCAAGTTAGACAGATGATAGCATACTTGTTCAATATCTTTCCTAACAGTAGGCTCCCCACCAGTTAAACGAATTTTATTGACACCAGAAGTTACAAAAAGATTAGCCAAGCGAAGAATTTCACTGAGTGACAGTAATTGAGGGCTAGAAGTGAGGTCCACGCCCTCGGATGGCATACAATACTGACAACGTAAATTGCAACGCTCTGTCAAGGATACTCTCAAGTAAGTGTGCATCCTTCCAAATGAATCAATTAACATATCAGAAACAGGATTTTCTTTCTCTTTCTCTTTATCATTCTGAGGATGTTCCGAAAGGCTAACACAGGAAGTTGCATACATCATTTTGCTCATGTGATCATGTGTACCTCGATAGGATCCAACTTCAGAATCGACCTGAAGATATGAAGATGATTGGATTGTTTGTATTTGAAACTTAAATTTATGAAAGGATAATAACAGAATAACATACCAAGAAGCAATTGAAAGTTGTGAACCCCAGACGGAAGTTAGTGATATTAGGCAGATAGCGCCTCATGGTGGCCGCTGAAACCATAAGAAGGAAAAACATAAATAAAAACCGAATTGTCAAAGAGGAGGAAGCAAAAGACGATAGAAATTTCTGACCTTTCATGTGGTTCAATGGATGCTGGACCGCTGGTTAAATAAAACTCAAAAGGGGCAGGGGACCGGGGGGAGATACAGATGTATATATAAATTATTATAAATATAGTGTGGATAAGACGTGTCAAACAGTCTCACATGTTAAATGAATAATTACATCAGCCCTTAACTGAGGGCCGTCAGACTGGGTTCGTTTGGCTTTTGGTGTTTGGTGTTAGTTAGTGTTGGGTGCTCCTTCTCTTCCCACCTACATCGGAGGACTGGGAGAGAGAGCTGCAACAATTAACAGTACCATACGTTTCCTTCACCAATTTACATTCATAACCTTCACACTAGGTCTTATATGACTTATATTGTGTTTATCAGGAAGAAAGATAATTGCTTGATTTGTATGCTACAAAAAACGATATATATTTGTTTAGAGGTTTGTACAAAGAGTGTGTAAATAGACAAACATATGTTATCTTCAATGGAGCTTTGTTTTCTCTTGAAACAGAAGAAAATATGGTTGATCTCTTTTTTTTTTTTTTTTTCAATCTATAACTCAAAAAACTTAATTAATCAATTGTGCTGAGGTCAACTCTTTAACAAAGTCATCCACAACTCAACTCCCGAGGTCCACACCCGATGGTAAGCTTCATCAAAACACGCAGTCTTAATCCTCCACTGCACTGGGCTTATGTCATGTTGATTACACCACACATTAAATATAACGTCCATACCAACTCAGCTGCACTTAAAATAAAACACACCATGAACTATCAATTATCAAAACTTCATAGTTCCTCACTCGAAAATATTTATAAACTCTTTTCGACTGTAAATCCACGAACATTAGTTACATTCTCACTTGTAATACAACATCCACACATATGAAAGAAAGACATTAAAGATTCCTCTCTGGTCAACCATCTTGTCCCCTTCACAAGCTACTTGCATCTACATATAGCACCCAGGGCTTGTAACAGAATGAGAAGCTCATATTTAACATCCTTTATGCAGAGGATATTTAAATGAGAAAACAAACAGCTCAATCCCTGTTCCGTATCAAAAATTGAACTCCGTGCAACCTGAAAGGATAAATCAATTTTTAAACACCGTCCACACAAATTTCATTCCATGAAAGATTTAACTGTCACATATTTAATTTCAGACGTTATTAAAGGAAATAAATTACAAGATCTGCGATCACAAGATCACATTTGTATATGCTTTTGAATACATGCTGAAAACAGATTGAAAGACAGGTGTCATATAAAGACTCAAAAAGCAAGCCAAATATGCAGTTTTAGTACCAAAGTTCTTCAACAAGTGTCTGGTCATCAGTTGATGAAAACTACAAACTTTAATGAACAATCCCTTTGGATGGAGTGCGGACGCTGTGACTTGAGCAATGAACTTCTAACTCTTAAACTCAAGTCACATGAAAGTCCCTAAGAAAGAGTAAAAAAATATGCAACAAGAACTCTTACTTTAACCTTTTTCCTCTTCAACTTACACATAACTATGTAACACAAACTGAAAGAGACCTATCTCTAGAACCACAGTACATCAGAAAAACTCTTTTCTGTTATCGTCCCATCAGAGATCAATTGTCATGACCAAAAGCAACACCTATCCTTCCATTGATGTAAAAATACAGCTTTTATCTTTACATGGCATGGCTCAATGTTAATCTGAGAATCAGCATGTTCCTGTTGAGGAATTTATACCCCTGTACTTAATTTTGTCAAAGTCAAAACCACTAACAAGTCTCACTGAAAACACAGTAAATTGATGGAGAATCTGGAAATAAGTGTTTGTCTTATTTTCCATCCAACCATCGTCTATCATAATGATGCTCAATAAAAGTGGATGTTTCGCAGAATCCCCTCCAACTAATGATATTGGGAGGCATCAGCAGCATCAAAACCAGATAATTCTCTGTCGTGTCCAAGTAGCACAACAAAATCTGCTACAACCGCAGCCATGTAGTGATCTAGTGAGTTGATAAATTCATATGTAAACTATATCAAAAGCATGTCATACCTTGCTCCAATGAATATGTTTCCAAATTTTATAAGGGAGTGTTTCAGTGGAAACTAAAGAAGACAACTCATTCAGGCATGTGCATCAATCAACAACCCAAACAGCATTAGATCTGTTTATGACTAGTTCTTAGGTGGAGAAGGAGGAGACCCAAGAGTAAACCGGGCATGGTATTCCATTGAGGATTCTAGGAAGTGAAATTTGTGGAGAAGATCCCCTTAAACGATTCTATTAAGGCCACTGTATCATAATGTTATCATGTGGAAACCATCCTTGCATAAGCTTCTCTGTAATATATACATGCATCAGAAATCTAGAGAATTCTATTAAGGAATTTACCTTGTGTATTGACAATGAAGACACACCTTATCAAACCTCCCAAAATGTTTTTATTACGACAGAAATGAGAACAAACAGCTATAAGGGGTTCTTGGGAAGGGCATACCGAGCCTTAGCCACCGATATGTATCATAGGTCTATTGGCTGTCTTTGCAATATCAAACATCCCAGAATGTGAAGCTTTCTTCCTTTTGACCTGAAGCAGATCAGAAGTTAAAAGTTTAAAGACAATTGCACATATTGAAGCAGGAAATCTTGAAACCTGGAGCAAATTCTATCAGATTCAGACAATCAAGTAATGCTTTTATGCTTCATTATCAGGTCATATCACCCATTATGTTATAAATCAACACAACACTTTTGAACAAATTAAATCCAAACCTACAATATATGAATCAACAATACATAGTATGACTGATGAAATGAAGCTTTGACAGTTGTAACATATAGTGGGATGTGAGTGCAACACAAAGCCATGGAAAAACTTAAAAATTCATACCGCTGCCCCAATTATTTCCCTGAGCTCATCATCAGTCGCATTCTGTCGGAGGGGATCCCTTAAGCTAACCTATAAAGAAAAACCACTGGTAAGACAACAAAATCATGATAGACAACCGTGTAAGTCACAGGACAAAGCTAAACAATTTTTTAAGAGATCATATATAATTCACCTCTGAAGGACCAAAGAGGCATACTTTGAAGTTCCCATCAGCCAAAAGTCGCAATCTATTGCAACCAGCACAAAAATGCTCAGTCATGGATGTGATGAAAGAGACAGTACCACAATGCCCATCAATCTTGAAATTCTTGGCTGTTTCCGTTGGGTGATCTTGTATTCTCTTAAGTCCAGGAAACTTTTTTACCTGTTATTTTAAGATAATTTACTCAAGGAATGCACAAGGGAACATTCAGAAATCTACAAGCAGGATCACCTGTCAGAGTTCTACCTTACCACTGTATCCAACATCTCCGAGTATGATACAAGCTTCTTGACATTCCAAACATTTCCATCAAAAGGCATGAACTCAATGAAACGAACGTTAATTGGTTTATCGCGTGTCAGCTCTACGAAATCACACATCTCATCATCATTAAACCCACGCATCACTACACAATTCACCTACAGAGAAGGCAGAACATACAGAAAGGAAAGCTTTTAATTTTGTCCAACAGAAAGCCTTGGATAAGAACCAATTTTAGACAAGCACAAACTTAAAAAGAAATACATACTTTGACGGGATTGTAGCCCACGTCTATAGCAGTATTAATGGACTCAAGAACCCTTTGATGGCCTTTGCGCCTGGTCAAAAATTCGAATTTTGCAGGGACTAATGTGTCTAAGCTAATATTTAAATGAGTAAGGCCACACTCTTTTAGCTTAGGAAGTTTTCTAGCAAGGGTGAGTCCATTAGTAGTCATGGAAAGTGTCTTAAGACCTTTCAAGTTAGACAGATGATAGCATACTTGTTCAATATCTTTCCTAACAGTAGGCTCCCCACCAGTTAAACGAATTTTATTGACACCAGAAGTTACAAAAAGATTAGCCAAGCGAAGAATTTCACTGAGTGACAGTAATTGAGGGCTAGAAGTGAGGTCCACGCCCTCGGATGGCATACAATACTGACAACGTAAATTGCAACGCTCTGTCAAGGATACTCTCAAGTAAGTGTGCATCCTTCCAAATGAATCAATTAACATATCAGAAACAGGATTCTCTTTCTCTTTCTCTTTATCGTTCTGAGGATGTTCCGAAAGGCTAACACATGAAGTTGCATACATCATTTTGCTCATGTGATCATGTGTACCTCGATAGGATCCAACTTCAGAATCGACCTGAAGATATGAAGATGACTGGATTGTTTGTATTTAAAACTTAAATTTATGAAAGGATAATAACAGAATAACATACCAAGAAGCAATTGAAAGTTGTGAACCCCAGACGGAAGTTAGTGATATTAGTCAGATAGCGCCTCATGGTGGCCGCTGAAACCATAAGAAGGAAAAACATAAAGAAAGACCGAATTGTAAAAGAGGAGGAAGCAAAAGACGATAGAAATTTCTGACCTTTCATGTGGTTCAATGGATGCTGGATAAAGAAAACTCAAAGGGGCAGGGGACCGGAGGGAGATACAGATGTATATATAAATATGGTATCGATAAGACATGTGTCAAACAGTCTCACGTGTTAAATGAATAATTACATCAGCCCTTAACTGAGGGCCGTCAGACTGGGTTCGTTTGGCTTTTGCTGTTTGGTGTTAGTTAGTGTTGGGTGCTCCTTCTCTTCCCACCTACATCGGAGGACTGGGAGAGATAGCTGCAACAATTAACAGTACCATACGTTTCCTTCACCAATTTACATTCATAACCTTCACACTAGGTCTTCTATTTCTACCTTTGACTTTTCAGAAATCAAAACATAAAAAGTCAAAGTGTGCCTAATATGACCTATTCTCCATTCTCCATTCTCCATTGTACCATATTAGTCATATTTATTTAAATTTTTTTATAAATAAATAGTTATATGAGGGTCGCTTAAAAGGATTGAAGCGGTGGTTAGTGAAGGGTCAGGTGTGTAAATTCATGAAGCATTCATTGACTCGTAAATGGAATAAATTTACATTATAATTTTAGCTTTGAATTAGCGGAGGTGGTGTGTTTTGGTTTGGTACGGGAATCTCTCATTCTTTTTCTCTTCCTATATTTTCATTTTAATTGAAAGCCATTTCTTTTAGTTTTCCAGACGAGGCAGCCATGGTGTTCTTTAGGACTGTAACCGCGCTTTCTCGCCTACGTTCTCGCGTCGTAAGTTTTTTCTTTTCAACTGTCCACTTTTATATTTCAAATTAACTTCTTCTTTTGCTTTATTTTGTTGATTCATTGAATCTTCGTCACAGGGCC